ATAAAATCTTTAAAAAAAGAAGAGCTCCGCTGTCACCGTTTTGAAATTTTTAAAAATGTTTGAACAAGGGGCCCTGCCTTTTCACTTTGTACCAGGTCCCACAAATCCCATAGCCAGCCTGCACTAGGAGCTCCATGACCAAAACCAAAACCAAAACCAAACCAAAACAAAACAAAACAAAAACTAAGAAAAAAAACGGGTTTCATGCTTTGATGTACAGATGGGGAAACGCCACAGCAGCCCAGAAAAAGGAGGGACTGGTCCAAGGTCACACAGCCCGTTGGGGCCAAAGCGAGGATTGAGTCCCCAGCATCCTGATTCAACTGTGCGGGCTCCTCTCTTGCTTTCAGTGTGTTCTGTCACTCCCTACTGCCTCGAAGGAGCAAACTGAAGCCCAAGGGGACCCGTTGCCGGTCACATGGCCACGGTAACAGCAGGGATGATGGGCTTGAGCTACATTTTTTTGATGCTTTAAATCCTTTTTGGAATAGGAAAGAGCCTGGGTGAGATCATACATACATACTTACGTATATACACAAAGAGTCTAAATGGTTCGTTTTTAAAACGACAACGAAGCCAGTCCTCTCTCATTTGCCAGCCAGCTGGCTCGGGGGCTTCATGAGCTGGGGCCACAGGAGGGCTGGAGCTGGCTGCCTTCAGCCCCCCAAACCACATCAGCAGTGCAGTTTACCAACTCACCGCGCACTTCCTCAAAGCAGTGGTTGGGCGCTCTTGGTGCCAAAAAATATCTGGAAATATGAAAGAATTAGTAGCAACTGTTTCCCCCGCGTGCATCCCTGCCCTCCAAGGCTCTCTTAGCTGGAAGTGGGAGGCGCTCCCCGACCACACCCAGCCTGCCCTTGCCCTCAGGCTGGCCCACCTCCTCACTTCCTTGTTTCTTTGTGAAACAGGAACTGAGCAAGCAGCTCAAGTAGGGTAGGATGGGTGGTTGAGACAACCCCAGTGGTCCATAGCAAGGCCATGAAGCTGAAAAGTTAATTTCCCTCCCAGCGGGTCCTGAGTAGTTCTAGATTCTCTCGCTTGTCACACCTTCCATGTTCTAGAATAGCTTGGCCTGAGGGACCCTGTCCTGGCGAGGTGGAGACACACAGCATATGGGACAGAGTCACGTAGCAGAGATTCAGATGGGGTCCAGATGAGATGTAGAAGCAGGTGCCAAGGCAAGAGGAGACACTGTGGGTGGAGCCTGGAGTGAACCGATATAGTCCCCCACCAGGTACCAAGCATTTTGCATGAGCTGTGCACTGGACTGACAGCATTCTGTCTAACATGTCATCTGGGTAACTCTGGTTACTTACACACACACACACACACACACACACACTCTCTCTCTCTCTCTCTCCCCAAATGAGGCCCACATTATCACTGTCTCCACAAGAGCTCATTGCTCAAGGTCACTTGCCCAAGGTCACGCAGCCTCTAAGTGATATATGGCGATTTGAATCCAGTTCTACCTGACCTGATTTCTGGGAGGGGTCTCCTGCCCTTCCTCTTCCCTAGACACTTGTCCCCTAGACTGCTCAGCGACCTTTGTCCTTGTAACCTTGGGACACAGTCCTAGGCAGAGCAGCCTGGTCCTCCCAGTCTCCATAGAAAGGCCCTGCAGTGAGTAATGAGGGTTTTTATCTGAGCACTAAAGCCCGGCCTCTTCTTTGCGGTCATTGCCATAGCTGCCTGCAGGTGTTCTTTGTTTTTAAACCAAGACCTTATCACGGGTTCAGAGATTCAGAGATGACTTTCCCTCCCATCAGCCCCTGCTGCCAGGGACTCCCCAATGCTCCTAGAGCTGAGCGTTCTGCATGTACTGTGTGCCCGAGGAATGGATGCTTCCTGCCCAGGTTCTTGCCCTCCTCTGCCCTTCTCCTACCTGTGCTTTTACTCTTCTCATCCTCCCTGCCTAAGACTACCACCATGAAATCTGCTAATGGGCTGGGCCTTCCAAAATGGACTTCACCTCGGAAATGCCCAAGTGTTTCCAAGCGACTGTGTGGTCTCTGCTTGAACGTTTCCAGAGACAGGAAGTTCTACTACTTAACCAGGGCTGAACTAGTACCATCTAAATATCAAAAGTGTCCGGGCACTTGGGTGGCTCAGTTAAACCTCCGACTCTTGCTACTTGCTCAGGTCACAAACTCAGGGTTGTGAGATCAAGCCCTGCGTCGAGCCCTGCGTTGAGCCCTGTGTGGGGCTCCACAATGGGTGTGGAGCCTGCTTAAGATTCTCTCTCCTTCCCTCTGCCCCTCCCCCTCCCACTCACTCTCTGTCTCTTTCTCAAAAAAAAAAAAATATATATATATATATATATGTATATATATAAAATGTCTTCCTAGGAAGGGACCCAAACCTTCCATTTATGTTTCCCGTCATTCCTGGCCACCAGAATACATCCCTTCCTCTCTATGACAGCTCTTCAAAATCAACTTGCTTCCCCACCCCAACCCTCTAAGCCAAATACTACAGGTGTTGAGTACTCCTCAGGTTGGTGGGGCTCCCCTACAGATCACACACACACACACACACACACACACACACGCAGCCCTAGCTATTCAGCTTCTGTACATGGGATCAGACTTCCAGATGCCCTCCCCTTTCTCTTCATTCCCACTGCCTGCCACAGTGTATTATTTTCCACGGGATGTGCGTGTGTGGCTGGGAGAGGTGAGAATAAGAATCATTTGGGAGGTTTATCCAAATATAGATCCCTCGATAGCCAAACTCTTACTCTCTAAAACCAGGATTGTACCCATTCGGAGAGTGAAGGACACTTTCACACATATCTGGGTCCTAACTGCCCCAAATATCCCACCCATGATCTTCTACCAAATTAGAATCTCTTCAGGGGTGCAAGTGGGGGGCTGCTCTGTGTGAATGCAGCCTACGATAACCATTGTGCCTTTGGCAGCCCTATTGTCTACCCTCTGAGGGTTCAGACGGATCTCACTTATCTGTGGCACCTTGCACCCCAAAACACACAATAGCAATATTGCTGCTAAATCAAAGCTTTGCCGTCCCACATTTATACTGGACACATCTTTGCGATAATAATCCCAATTTAAACTGCTTACCTCAGGGGGTTGTGTTGGGATTAACGTAGTGCTTGGCAAAGAACAATGCTGCGCAAATGTAAGCTTGCCTCCCTGCAGATACGGAAGCTCCCAGGTGCAAGGGACTTGGACAACTATTTATTTTGCATCTCTTCATAGTGCTTAGCACAAGGCTCTGCCCAGAGCTACTCCTAGGTCCTGTCTACCAGCCCATTATCAAGTTTGAGGTGGCCTCGTTCACTGCACTACTGATCTGAATCACCTCTTTAGCTGAGGGCTCTGTGTACCTGGGAAGTGACCTATAAAATGTTGATGTGTGGCCCGGAGGGGGAACCTGTTTAAAACGTGTTTAAGGCCCATTAGCCAGCTGGGGCCTGACCTCAAGGGACTCAGGCCAGGGCAATGTGCTGGGAGGGATAAGTTGGGGGAAGGCCAGTCCAAATGGGGGAGCCCCTGGACCCCCAGAGCGGGGGTGGGGAGGAGGCACACCTGAAAGGGAGACAGAAGGGCAGCGCTGAACACACTCGCTCCCTTCTGTCCTGGGGGCATTGGGGACCTCTCTGTACTTTACTAGAGGTTCCTCTCCAGCCCTGCCGCCTTTTCCCAGGCCTGGGCAAGGTGGCCGCCCAGCACCCTGGTTAGCTGGCTGCCTTTGAAGGCTCTGCGGTTAGCGTGTGAGCTGCGCCCGCGGCCGGGGCTGAGCAAACAGGAAGCGGGGCACATCCTGCACGCCGGTCCACGGACGTGCCGTCACGGCGCAGGCCCAGAAGGTTCTGTGGGGGGCTCCGGCTCCGACCGCTCCCGCTGCCCGAGCCCCGAGTGCCCAGAGCCCCTGCAGCCCTGTGCCCGCCCCTCGCCTCCTGTGGGGTCAGCCTCCCACCCCTGCTCCCGCCACCTCGTCCCCAACCTGGGCAGGCTCCTTCCCAGGCCTCCAAGCCCGGGCAGTGGGAGCCCTGGCGCCAGCCCCTCCCCCCAGCTGCCAACGAGGGGAGCATGGCCTGTGGGGGAGCGAACTGGGGTGCTGGCACCCCCGGCCTGGCCGGCTGAGGAGGACAGAGCCAAAGAAGTATGGCTTCAGCTTGGGGGAGAAGGACCTTGTCTTCCCTGAGCTCAGCCCGAGGGATGGATGTTCAAAGGGCGTGGGGCAGGCTGGGGGACAGCGGGGAGGAAGTCACAAGAACATCTTGGGAACAGGGGAGGGCCAGCCCAGGATTTCACAAGTGCCGCAGAAAGGAAAGCCTTAAAAAGATGCACAACTTTTACCCCAGGATTCCCCTTCTGGAAATCTATCCAAAGGAAAAAAATGTGGATGTGAATATTTGCCTTAAGGATGTACCACGAAGAGTAAAAAAAAAAAAAATATATGAAGCCATCCTAAGTTCATCGGTGGGGGCCTGTTGAAATCATCATGGTACCCGTGTGCCGTGGGCTGCTCAGCAGCCATTACGAATGGCATTAGTTGACAAATAGCTCACAGCGTGAGAAAATCTCAATGATACTTCAGTTTGACAAGCGGATATCAACACAGTTTGTGAAGTATGACTTTTTTTAATTTTTAAAAATTTAAAAATGGTTCTGTTTAGGTGTAATTGGCCTACAAGAAACTGCACACTTTTAAAATGTATGATTTGTTTTAACATACGTATGCACCCATGAAACCATCACGGCAACCAAGATAGTGAACATATCTATCACCCCCGAAAGGGTCCTTGTGCCCTTTCTGACCTCTCAAACCGCAGGTCTGCTTTCTGCGCAGTATGATTTTTGTAAAATAGAGAGGAGGGGTAGTTAAATGTTAAAAAATAGAAAAAGATATTTATCCAAACAGTATAATTATGGAGAAAATTTTAATTTTCTTCTTTTTGTGTATTTGTGTTTGCTAAATTATGTTATGAATATGAATTGCTTCTGTAATAAGAAGATCATTGAAGTTATTAAAATATCTGTTACAGATAACCCACAAAGCGAACATTCTAAACCACACATGCATTTAAGAAATGCCTCTTGCCTGGGACATTTGCTGATGGTATGCAGTTGCTTGCGAGAACATGCCTTTTTCGTGGTGACGGCTGTTGTGATGATAAATATACGGGGGGGGGGGGACGCGGGGGAGCCAAGGTGTTTTGACTGCAAGCATGACTGCTCTGCTAAGAATGGCTACGGGCATGCTGGTGGCAGTGGGGATGACTGCCCCAGTGACCCCTGCAAGGATGTCGTGATGGCTGTAAGGATGATGACTGTAGGGCGGATGGTTGTAGGGGTCAGATCACTGTCGGTGACTAGCTGGAATGTCCATAAGGGTGACAGCCATGAGGCTGCTGATTGTGAGGGTGCCAGCAGCAATGATGATGATGGTGGGGGTGACGTCCGAGGCTGCTGGCTGTAGGGTGCTTGCTGTCGCGACGACAGGCTGTAGGGGATGACTGTAGGGTCATGGTTGTAGGGGTGGTAGTGGTGATAGTGATGACCTTGGTGATGCAAGACGACCAGGAGCATTGGCCTAACAGGCAGAGATGGCCCCGCTTCTGGCTTCTGGCTTCTGGTCGGCGGGAGAAGAGGCTTGAGTAGGCCATATCATGTCAAGTCGATGGGCCACGTCCAAGGAGATGGAGCAGGGCAGGTAATGATTGACACGAGACGGCAGGGTAGGGACTTTTCTCTGCTTGTTCAACCTAAGAGCCGTCTGTATCAGAATCTCTGGAGACTGAAGTTGGGACTTCCTTCCTCCCTCGGGGCCGGCGGGGGCTGCGATTGCTGTAAGAGCAGGTCACGTGGCTGGGCTTCCTGTATGCTGCTGCCGCTGGGTGTCCATGGCCCGTGCCCCCAAGCTGCCACTCCAGCACGCAGAGTGGCAGCCAGAGGCTCAGTCCATGCCGTGCCCCCTGGACGGTGCTCGTGAGGCTGAGCAAGAGGCCTCGGCATCTCGACACCTAAGATTGCGGGGACGGAGTGTCACCAGGGCAGAGGACCATGTTGCGCCGCAAACCCTCCAACGCCAGCGATAAGGAGCCCACTCAGAAGAGAAAGGTGAGGAGCATCTCTGGGAATTCGTGTCTTCCTTCCCTCTGCTCTCTCAACCCACCCCCTCCGGGACTCTTAGAAGTGGGAAGAGCCAAAGGCCGGACGTTGTGTCTGTAGGCAAGGGCCATTCTCCCAAGGGCATTGGGACAGGGCCCCAGAGTTTACTGGAGTAACAAAAGTACAGAAGAGACTTTCAAAATCTAGAGAGTCAGGGTTCCAGACCCTTAGAAGTCTAGAGTTACAGAATTAAACCCTACAATGATGGGATAGAGATCTAAAATCAGGGGTAGAATCCTAGACTAGAATTCAAGAATCACAAAATATACTTCTCGAGTTGCATCCCAAGACTGTACTCAATTCTCTCTCCCCTATGCCAGTCCTGCCACTGCTTCTGCCCAAGCACGGCCTCTCAGGAGACATCTCACTCAAAGGGACCTGCGGGGCCACCCAGATAGACGCCATGATGCTCCTGGGGCCCCTGCCCTCTAGCCATAGCCAGACTCTGCCCACTTGGCTCAGCTCTGTTGCAGCTCCCCAGGCCCTCCTGGAGAGGCGGCCAACCTGGAGAGGGGGCCCAGGGGATTTCTAGACTCAGGAAAAGGCTCTCCAAACCTGCAGTGGGATGCAGGGGGCATGCAGGTTCTTCCCAGGCGGGGAGAAATTATTTGTGAAGAATGAGAAATGAAGCTGGCGAGATGGGAAATAGGGGCTGAGGAGGAAAAATTCAGTGGAGGGACTCTAAAGACCAAGAGGAAAAGCAGCTATCGTGGACAGCTGAACTATTCCTCTTCCTGGAGCAGAGACCAGACCAGAAGATTCCTTGAAGACTGCCAGATCTAGATTTCTCTAGTTGGGTTTGAGAATTTCTAGACTTATTCTTTGAATTGATTATAGGACTCTCCCAGGACACCAGCTAAGTACATTCCACACATCCAGCAGGATCCTAGGACCATCCCCAAGCAGGCCTGAACCGGGTCCAAGAGACCTAGGCCTAGCCCCAGGCCACACTCGGGGGACCTCCAGGCCCTCAGTGTATCCTGCTGTTTTCCCCGGGAGCTCAGCCCAGGTGCCCTGTGGGGGAGCCCCTTTGTCAGGGGAGCAGCTCCCAGACGGAGGCCAAGCCAGCTGAAAGGCTGAGCCCTTGGGCACTGGGGTGTGCATCCTGCCCCATCTCAGGTCCTGGGGTGGCTGCCACTTCCGGCTGTACTCTCCCCACCCCAGATGCTTCTCTAAGTTGCAGTGGAGGTGGGCAGAGGGGGGTGGAGATTCATGAGTCTTCACACGGGCTTCGTCACCCCCATCTAAGCCCTGCTTGGTGCTAGGCCCAGCAGATTTACCATTGGCTGCCACTCCGGGGTGAGCAGGTCCCACTTCCCCTTGCTCTCTGGCTGATGGGGGTGGGAAGCAGAGACTACTGTAGACATTGCTGGGCCCCAAACCACAGGGGAGCTGAGCTGGGGGAAAGAGCCTGAGAAAGAGCTGACACTTTGACGCTGGGACCCTGTGCCATCTCAGGCGGAGGTGCCCAGGGGCACACAGAAGCCGGAAGTCCCTGTCTTCTTCCCTGACTTCCTTTATCTGGATTCTGTATTTGGTGGCGAGGCCTCTGGGATTGTCCCCCCAGGCTTCTCCCAGGAGAAGCAAAGCCCGTGTGGCACTCTGAGGTCCATGTCCCTCCCTCCAGGGAGGATCATCCAGGCAAACCCCGCCCCACCCCTGCCTGAGTCTGGGCCAGCCTCAAGAGCCACTCTCCAAGCCCCAATACTGTGGAAATGGCCTTGGAGAAGCCAAGCTTCCAGAAGGTAGAGATAGCATCTTCCCCACGCCCAGAGACAGCAGCCTAGCTCCAGCACCGTGACCTTGGGCAAGTCCCTTCTTCTCAGTGGCTGAGGTGACACAGTGGAGGGAAAGCACAAAGGCAAGTGAGGCCTCTCTCACCTGCCCCTGCTCCTCCTCCCAGGTCTGCCAGAATGAATGTGCTGAGCGGGAGGCAAGACAGGGGAGTTGAAATCCTATGGATTCTAGCAGTAGGACCTTGGACAGTTCATTGACCTTCTTTGGGCCTCGGTTCCTTCACCTTGGAAAAAGAGGCTAGCTCTTGATCTGCCCATCTCAGGAGGTTGTGCAGATGGCCTGGGACAATAAACATGAGAGTGCTCCCTCACGAGCAGGCATGTGCACACGAGTAGGGTGCATGCTGTAGGCGTGGGCGGGCGCGGGGCGCGCACTGCAGAGAAGACCAAGCCTGGGTCCCAGCCCTGAGGTGGAGGAAATGAGACTTAAAAGCACTAAGAGCCTGCACTAAGGGAGGACTTGTCAGGCGCCAGGTGCCGCGCACTCTACCTGTATTGGAGCTCGTTGGCTCCTCATGAGAACCTTGTGAAGCAGGGGCAGATATTGCCTCTATCTCTATTTTATGCCCAAGTCTCAGAGAGGTGAAGTGACTCACCCAAGTTCACACAGCTAGTAAGCTGCAGAGCAGGGATCCAAGCCAAGACTTATCAGTCTCCAGAGTCTTAACCCTTTCTTCCTCTACTCTCTTGTCCCCCTACTGATCCCAGAAGCACTAGAAGAATCTGATGAACATAAGAGACTCAACCCATGAGTAGGAAAGCACACCTCTACGTGACACCCCCACCAGCATACATGTTGCGTTTCCAGTGGCTCCTCGTTGCCCGCAGGCTAATGCCCAAGGTCCTCGGCATGGCTGGCCAGGGCCTTCCATGGCCTTTTCTGCTCCACCTCGCACCACACCGACTATGCTTAGATTGTTTCTAACTCTCATTCTTGTTTAAACCCTTCCCAGTTCCTCCCAGAGAAATCCTGGCTCCCTTGCATAGCCCAGCTTAAATGTGTCTCCTCCTCCCTGAAGCCCTCCTGAGCCCTTCCTCCTCCATGCTCCCGCTCACTCTCCAGGAGGCTCCCTCCAAACGCCACCCACAGTTTCCATTACACTCAGTGCATTTCTATACTGGAGACAACTTAGTGAGCTCTGAGCACAGCAACACACACAGGCTTCCAGAGTCACGGAACGGGGTTCAAACCCCTGCTCTTGCTGCTGCCCGCTGTGTAACTCTGCCTCAGACACTTCATTTCTGAGTCTCAGGCTCCTCAGCTGGGCAGGAAGGGTGTTAAGACGGGGCTGGAGTGAGGCTGGAGTGAGCTGGCACACACGAAGGGGTGGACAGGGTGCAGGGCACGGGGGAGGTGTTTAACCCCTTTCTTCCCGGATCCCCACACATGCACAGGCCAGTGCCTGGAGCCCAGAGGGTGCCAGGTATGTGACTGGTCCGCTGAAGGAGCTGGGGGGCTAGTTGCAGAGACACCCGGTGAAAGCCAAGCTTGCTTAGGAAGCAGGGGAAGAAGATGCCAACGGCGGGCAGTGTGAGGCTCTGAGGGGGTGACCAGGGGAGGCTTCCTACAGGAGGCAGCACCTTTGAAACTGGATTTGGAAAGCCTTTCTCTGGATGTATAATATCTGTCCAAAGAAGTGGATAAATTACAAGTGTTCCACTCAATGAGTTTCCATAAGGCGAACATTCCCTCATAGGCAACACCCAGATGAAGAAACAAAGCACTTTGGAGGACCTGGCTGCTTCAGTTGGTATAGCACGCAACTCTTGATCTCAGGGTGATGAGTTCAAGCCCCATGTTGGGCATAGCGCTTACTTAAAAAAAAAAAAAGCACTCCCAACACTCCAGAAGCTTCTCTCATGCCCCTGCTGGTCACTACATGCTCCCTTTCCCTAAGGGTAACCACTATCTTGACTTCCAATGGCATAACTTAGTTTTGCCGGGTTTTGAACTTTCTATACAAGGAACCATATAATGTACTCTGGTGGCTGGCCCCTTCTGCTCAACAGTGTATCTGCAAGATTCATCCATATTGTTAGGGAAAGCTGTACAAGCTCATCGCTATGTACTATTCCCTCCAATGACTGCTACAATTCCTATATCCACTATATAGTTGGTGGGCACGTGGGCTGTTTCCAGTTCCATTGGATTTTGAAGGAAGGGAGAAACCATGGTTGACAGAGAAGGGTGGCGTGTTCCAGGTGGGGCATGCCCTGGGTAAGAGTCTGGAGGGGGTCAGAGGAAAGGCTAAGCACACATGGACATTCGTTGAGGGGTTGCTGTGTTAGCAGTCGGGCCTTCTATCCTCACAGCAACCAACGAGGTAGCTGCCTTTGTCTTCGTTTTACCCACGAGGAAATGGAAGCCCAGAGAAGTTGTGGAACTCTCCCCACTTTACACAGCTGGTCAATGGCAGAACCAAGATGTGACCACCTGTCAGCTCATAGACACTGAAGGTCAGGAGGTTAAATAACTCCCCGAAGGTCACATATCCCAAAGCTGAACTCACCAACGTCTGATGCCAGAAAAGTAGCTCTTTCCAAGAGGCCCACATACTCCCCTTGGACATGGAAAAGGGGCCAACAGTGTAGGGTACTACCTGCTGCCTTGTGCAGGACCCCCAGGAAGGCCTGGCTGCAAAGGGAGACCAGGTGGAAAATCCAAGGGGACCCAAGGATTTTAACTCCTACCTGGGAGGGGGATCATTTCAGGGTCACCAAAGACCTTCAGGATATTTGGGGTTGGCCCCAAGGTTGGAGGTAGGCCGGGCAAAAGGCCACCCTGGCTGGCCCCAACCCTTGTCACCCGAAGCACATGTCTAGTCCTTTCCATAACCCTGGGCCGAGGAGTGGCCAGCAGGGCCCAATTCCCAGCGCCACCCCACGGCATTTTGGATTGTTTCCTCCCACTTTGAGCGAAAGCTGGGACAGAGGGGCCCTGACATAAGGTCCCTGGGGGCCAAAGGTCCCCCTCCCAGCCCCCAGCCTGCAGATTAATGACAGGAAAAGGAAAAAACTGGGGCCCGGTGGTGAGTTTACTCTCCCCAACAAAGCCCACTTCCAGTGCCAGGCCTGCCCTCTTGCATGCTTTCCAGGCTCGGAGTCCCTGGGGCTTCTGGGGCGACTCCCAGCCTCCCGGTCTGCAGACCAAGCTGAGGGGCGGTGAAGGGAAGGCCGTAATAGGTCCCATCGGTCTATAAATAGCAGCCCAACCTGCCCTCCTTGGGCCCAGGCCAGCCTGGTGCCCACCCTCTCTCTTTTCCAGGCAGTAAGAGGAGGAAGTTACCCAGGCAGCTGCATCCTAGCCATTCAAGAGGAGGAAATAAACAAAAGGTGGAGGAAAGAAGGGGAGAGAAAGGGGGAAAAAGAGGAAAGAATAGTGGGTGGGGAAAACCAAGGAAGGAGGATGGAGGAGACGCATGAGAATCCGAGCGGTCGCCCCACGGTCATGCTCTCCCCTGCCTATGCCCACTCATGGCCTCCCCTTCTCCAACTCCCCAGTGTAGCACAGAAGAGGCTTTCTGACGGAGGCCGTAGGTGCCCCATCCGGGAGGCCCCTGTGGCCGCAGCATCTGATGGCCTGACCGCTGACCTAGTTTTGGGCCCACTAGCTTGCTGCAACCTCTAGGAAAGTGTAGCCCCTGACCCTGAGTGCTGACTTGCCTTGGTCAAGACCCACCAGGAGAACCAAAGTCCCCAGGAGTCCCCACCGGAGTCCCCAGGAGTTGGGGCCAATTGTGTGCGTGTTGGGGGGCGGCCCTGGGGGGTTGTCACTGGACCCCCCTTTCATAGGAAAGAGGATGTGAAACTTTCAGCTTTGTGTGGCTTTGGGGCTTCGGTTCCTCAAGCCCTTATCTCTGGTGTCTGCAGTCTATCCCGCTCTATCTGTCTGGCCATCTGTGAACCCTGGTTCCTGTGTGTATCTCTCTCTGGTCTTGACTGCTGATCTTGATGCAGGCTCAGCCTTACCTCTTGCGTGTAAAGCCTGACTCCTTACCTGCCGGGCCCTGGCTTCTGGCTGCTATCTTGCCATGCGCATGCATATGCAGTTAAGAAAGCTCATTTCTTGAAAACAGTCTCATCAGCGCAAACAATCGGCGGGGTTTAAAAGTCCAAGCTCTGGCACATGTCATCAGCAGTAGCCAGCTCATCACGGTAGTGGCTAAGGTTAAAAGCCGAGATGGAGGAATTTAAAACAGCAACTTTCTTTTATGAAATGAGCCCCAGTCATTCATGTCCCAAATCTGTTGGCACCTTCTCTTAATAAGCCTCTCCCGAGGGTTTCCAGAAAGCAGAATGCCAGGTCTTACTGACTCCTGGGGGGATTGCCTTGCTCTTCTGGGGACACAGATTCATCAGGCTGGCGACCTCAGTGTGTTCAGCTCTATCACCGCGACAGGGACACCATGCTTGCCTCAGGTCCAGAGCAAAGAGGCGGCGGCGGGGTTGGAGAAGGTTTGCTCTATTAGGTAAAGGTGATGCTATCGTCCTGCTGAGGTACGTCTCCAGTAGGAGATATGCTTTTGCTCAGACTCGTTTGCTCTTTGCCTCCAGAATTCTGGGGACCAAACTGCAGGTGCTGGTGGTCAAGTGGGCTTCGTGTGAGGCCTGGCTGAGGTTGGAGGCTCCTGAGGTCCGGAGCTTGCTCTGGGGCCCGCATTAGGGGCTACCCTCTGCTGAAGGAGAGCAGCCATTTTCCAGCCACTGAGGGCCACACCTCTGCTTCTTCCAGATCTCACTTCAGCGCTCCAGCAGCTTCAAGGATTTTGCCAAATCCAAACCCAGCTCCCCCGTGGTGAGCGAGAAGGAATTTAATCTGGATGATAATGTGAGTTGCAGAGCCTCCCAGGGGGGTCTGGCTGCAGGCCCTGGGTGGGGGGAAGAGGAGATCTGGGGATTGCTGAGGAAAGCCTGCTTACACACAGAAGGCCAACCCTCCCACCCGTCAAAATTCTGGGCCCCCTAGAAATCACCCACATCGTTTTCAATTACAAATTACAGTTGACCCTTGAACAACACGGGTTTGAACAGCATGGGTCCACTTACACGCAGATTTATTTTTTTTCAATAAATACAGTACAGGACTGTAAATGTATTTTCTCCTCATAATTTTCTTAGTAATGTTTTCTTTTCTCTAGCTTACTTTATAGTAAGAATATAGTACATATACACACAAAATATGTATTAGCCCCCTGTTATCAGTAAGCCTTCTGGTCAACAGTTGGCTATGAATAGTTAAGTTTTGGGGGAGTCAAATGTTATACGTGGATTTTCATCTGCGCGGGGCGGGGGTAGTTGGCGCCACTAACCCGCACGTTGTTCAAGGGTCAACTGTAATTGTCAAATTAATTACAGATTAATGGGGCTGAGTACGGGACTGGGGCTAGGAGGGAAGGGGATGGGAGCCTCTCATTCCCACCCCCATCCTCTGCCAGGACCTGAAGGCCTCCTTCTGCCCCTAAATCCCGGACCTCCTCCTTTGTTGTCACAGATTCCAGAAGATGAGTCAGGTGTCCCTACCGCAGAAGATGCTGGGAAGAGTGGCAAAAAGCTGGGGAAAAAGTGGAGGGCCGTGATTTCCAGAACCATGAACAGGAAGATGGGCAAGATGATGGTGAAGGCGCTGTCAGAAGAGATGGTGAGGCCTGCGGGAGGGGTGGGGGGCAGGGAGGGCAGGCAGTGCTCTGGCCGCCTGTGAGCATAGCCACCTTGAAGGCCATAGCTCGGGTACTGGGCCTGAGGGCCTGATTCACTATGAGAAGGAAGGTCATAAGGGAAGAGAGCTCACTCAGCCATGAGCCTGGCAGCAAGGCATGGTCCTGAGGGAGCAGGAGTGGGGTCTGAGGAGGGATGAAAGTCTGGGTAACAGAAGCTTCCAAGGAAGCCTGGCCTGAGGAGGGGGGGCGGCGCTTGAAAGGGAGATGCAATTGCCTGAAGCAAATTCATCCACCTCAAAGTTTTGCTTGGAACTAGCCTCTGGGATTGGGAAGACTGGATTGGAAGAGGGGCCCCTAGGAGAGAAAATAGAGAAGGCTGGCTTGGGCCCAGGGAGAGAGGGTGGGACAGACAGCTGTGGGGCAGGCACGTGCAAGTAGCTGACGTCACACAGTGAGTTGGCTGTGGCCATGGCTCTGACCGAAGGTTCGCGGCGGGGGGGGGGGGGGGGGCGGGGGGGGGCGCAGAGTGCCCTAGTCAGCTCTTACTGGCTGCTACCAGCTCAGGACAGCAATTGGTCAAATTTTGAGGAATTTGGTGAGCCAGGGGTGAAACCCAACCATTACCAAAAATTACATTCTATAAACTTAGAATTAAGTAAGTTCTATTGAAAATAAAGAGACTACGGGCAACCTTCAAAACTCATAATTTCCTGAATCTTATACTACCTTTCACTGTTCTCTGGGCTCTTGAGGTTATTTGCCTCTGTAGTCTCCCTGCAGCGGAATTGGCCCCCAGGGTGTGCGGCTTGGTGAGCGACTCCACGGAGGGGGAGTCTGTATGACGCTCGGGCCTTTGGTTCCTAGAGAGCCGGGCCGCTTGTGAAAGGGCGGCCCCCGCCCTGAGGTGTGTGGTGAGGCGGAGGAGCTCTGGAGTCAGGCCAGCTCAGCTCGGTTGTGGGTTCCTGTGCGGCCTTGGGGATGTTCCTCCGTGACTGCTCCTCTGTGAACTGGGGACCATCAGAGCGCTTACCCTGAAGTGTCACTGTGAGGGTGCAAGGACCTGACAGGCCCGCCTGGCACGCAGGAGCAAGGCCGAAGGTAGCTCGGCCCTGGCGGCCCCTCTGAGCCCCAGCTCGGGCGCCGCAGCCCTCTCCGCGCGGACCCCGCACATTCCTGCTGCAGGAGGTCGCCGCCTGAGGACGGTCATTCCCACATCAGCGAAGTGGGAGCTTGCGCAGCCTCGGAGCCCCCACCCCCACCCCCACCCCCCGGAGAGCCCAGGCCCATTTCCTCTGTGCCCCTGGGCGTCCCAGCCAGGGCTGCTCAGGGTCCCCTGCCTTCCGACCCCTGCAGGGAAACACTCTGGAGGAGGGCTCCGCCTCCCCGACATCTCCAGACTGCAGCCTGGACAGCCCCGGCCCCGAGAAGATGGCACTGGCCTTTTCTGAGCAGGAGGAGCGTGAGCTCCCAGCACTTAGCCGCCAGGCCTCCACGGGTGAGTAGGCGACCGAAGGGGACATCTGCTGAGTCTGGAGAAAAGGACTGGGTTAGGGCCTGGAAGCTGGCTGTGTGGGAGGAAGGTAAGAGGAATGAACCTTAGCAGTTTGCCTTCGGGGAACTTTCCCGGCCGTCTTCACATTACAGTTTCACAATAACTTCATGGTGCTGGCACTATCATCCCCATTTTATTGATGTGAAAACTGAGACTCAGGGAGGTTTTTCACTTTGCCCAAGATGACCCAGTCTTGAACTGAGGTCTACCCTGGAGGGGCTGCCACTTGCTGTCGTCAGGGCCTGGAGGGGCCCAAGGGAGACGATGAGCCCCCCTGCGCTCTTGGACTAGCCCAACGCCACCCTTCCAAGGGGAGGCGGAGGCTCCAGCCACCTGGGCCTCTGACATCCCAGACTGGGGGTGGGGCTAGAGGGTCTCCCGCGGGGAAGTCTCAGCCTCTTAGACTGCAGCCCTTGGTTTGCTGGGCTCAGGGCGCCATTTGGCATCTTCTAGGTGCCTATGAGGTTGGACAGGAGGTTCCAGCAGCCCCTCCTGGAGGAGGGGCTGCAGGCTCTGAGCTGCAGACCCACGGAGGCACTGGCCTTCTCACCCCTCAGGCTAGTTCTAAGTTCCGTGCTCTTTCTCTGGCTCCACAGACACCTCCCTGCCCCCACTGAAAGCCACTTATAATGCCCTTCATCCCGCCCTTCCCAGAGAGAAAGAGCCCTTCTGAGTTTTCATGTGATGTTGTAACTAGATGCTGAGTCTTATTACATACAGAAAGTAAAATACTAGTTTAGGGTGTGGTTTCCTGTGTGGAAGGTGGCTTCCAGGAGCACTGGACTGGGAGTCAGGAGACCTGGAGTCAAATGGACCCAGGGCTACCAATTATAAGGTGAGAGATCTTGGGTGCCCAGTTGGCCTGTCTGGCTTCAGTTTTCCCTATCTGTTCATTGGGCCCAGTTGGTCTGCAGAGGTCCTCCCAATTTGCTCATTCTTTGGTCTCTGAGCCCTTTCTCCTTCTGTGGTCAACTGTTTTCATGTCTGAGGCCCCAAAGGTGAAGCTGGGCTCCTGCAGGGTGGCCTTGGGATTTCGAGCCACAGCCCCTGGCAGCTACCTGCTGGGTACTCCCCCAGCTGTCTTGCGACAAAGGTGACCCTCCTCCCTGCCCCATCTCCTGCAGGCAGTGAGCTCTGCAGCCCCAGCCCAGGTTCTAGCAGCTTCGGAGAGGAACCACCTGCCCCCCAGTACACAGGGCCCTTCTGTGGCAGGGCACGAGTCCACACCGACTTTACTCCCAGCCCCTACGACCGTGACTCGCTGAAACTGCAGGTAAGGTTGGCGTCTAGGCCTCTCCTGAGCCTGGCAGGCTGGGCCCATAAAGAAGGCTGTACTGAGCCAGGATAAGACGGTGTCCATGGAAGCCAAGGGAATACCCTTCTCCTCTCCCCTGCTCCACTCTGCTCTCCTGTCCTCCCACAGAAAGGAGATGTGATCCAGATCATTGAAAAGCCACCTGTGGGCACGTGGCTGGGCCTGCTCAATGGCAGGCTGGGATCTTTCAAGTTCATCTACGTGGATGTGCTGCCTGAGGAGGCTGCAGGGCCCGCCCGCCCCAGTCGCCGACAAAGCAAGGGCAAGAGGCCCAAGCCCAAGACTCTGCATGAGCTGCTGGAGCGCATAGGCCTGGAGGTTGGAGCTGGGACCTCCAGGGAGGCACACTTGCCCCAGGGATGGAGGCTAGGGCATGGTCAGCTATGTGGGAAGGGAGGGATCCCAAGTGGGGGTGGCTTGTAAGTGGCCCCACTGGGGGTCTGCCTTTGCCCGCAGGAACACACATCCACCCTGCTGCTCAATGGCTACCAGACACTGGAGGACTTCAAAGAGCTGCGGGAAACACACCTCAATGAGCTGAACATCATGGACCCACAGCACCGGGCCAAGCTGCTCACGGCCGCCGAGCTGCTGCTGGACTACGACAGTGAGTGGGTTTAGGAGCCAGGTTTGGGGGGGTGCCTCCAGGTATTCCGGGGAGGGAAGGCCTGCCCCAGCCCGGCCCAATGACCACACTCAGCCCCGGCACCCCTCTGCAGTGGGAAGGCACTTTCCACACTTGAATTCCAGTCTCGGGCAAAGTTTGCGGACAGAGGGGCCTTAGGGATGATGGGGTCCAACTCCCTTTGGGATGAAAGGGGAGACTTAAGGCCGGAGAAGGTAAAGCATATACTCGAGGCCTCCAAGCTGGGTCATAGCAGAGCCAGCAATCAAGCGCAGGTTTCCCGGCCCCTAGCTGGCTGCTAAAGAAGTTGGCTCTGGGGCTGGGTTGCTGGCTTGGAAACCACGCCACCTGGTTCTAAGCTGGGAAGGGTGAGAGGGGCAGGGGTGGTAGTGGGTGCCCAGAGGGAAAGACTGCCCACAGTGGACTTCCCAGAGTCCCTACCCCCCCCCACACACAGGGGCTCCCTGGGGCCTCTGAGCTCCCTCCCAGCTAAGGCCCAAGCCCCCCCCCCCCCCCATATTCCATCCTCTCCTTTGGCCCGGCAGCCGGCAGCGAGGAGGCGGAAGAGGGTGCGGAAAGCAGCCAGGAGACAGCTGCAAACACAGTGTCTGGACCCAAGGTGGACATTCCTCGAGACTCTGGCTGCTTCGAGGGCTCAGAGAGCGGACGTGATGAGGCCGAGTTGGCAGGCGCTGAGGAGCAGCTGCAAGGCCTCTCCCTGGCCGGGGCGCCTTGAGGCAGAGGTGGAGGCGCGGGCCGAGGTCGGGGCCCCAGCAGCAAAGACTGCAGGGATGGGCCCGGCCTCCCACGGTGGCGCACTCCCTGGAGGACTGGTGCTGAGCCGGGCCCTGCTCCCCTAGGAGCGCCCAGGGCGGCAGGTCAGCCGGGGCGCCGTAGGCTTGGCTGGAGTGGATGGGGAGCCACCCAAGGCACATCCTACCCGTGCAGCCCCCTCCCTCCACCAGCTACTGACAGCACAGAACTTCCAGGCCCCACCTGCTCCCAGCCACAGCAAGTGGGACACTGAGGGGCCGCCCTACCCATGTCCCTCACCACCGAGGCCCCCAAACCCTCCTCAGCCCCACACCACTTTCCCCTGGCACACTGCTCCTGAAAGGGAGGCCAAGTCAGTGTTTCGGGATGGTTTCAAAACCCTAGGGAAGCTGGCCCTTTAAAAGGACCCTAACTGATCATGGGTAGGTACAGATTTCCCCAAATAAGGCTTGAGGAAAGCCGCATGTACCTTTCCCACATTCCTTCTCCTTAACCTTTTTGGAGGTTTGGCCACTAACTGGTGGGGATTAGAATGGATACTGCTGGGGGCCTTGCCAGCTCTGACATTCTGGGACATTAAATGTCTGCTCTCCTGTTACCTGTGGCCCAGGACACCAGTGGGGTTGACTGAGGGAGCTGAAGGGGCCTTGGGCTCCCAAGTGAAATGGCTCCTCCCGCTCATTCATTCCATACCTCCCCACATAACTCAAGCCAAGCTGCAGCTCCCCCCAGCTTAAAACAATGCCCAGACCTCATGCAACATGCACTCCCCCCTTCCACTCCTGGCCCCGTCCAATGACACTTCCCCTGAACGCTGATGGCAGATGGTCAGATCTGGCTTCCAAGGACAGAACTGCCCCTCGGAAGTCACATGCAAGTCTGAACTCAGACTTGGCCACCTGTATGGGTTCTTACAAGCAAAGAAAGCACAAAGCTTGACACTGGGGAGTCTGTTACCCCAACTTTGCTTTGCAAAAGGTTTTGATGTACCCTGAGCTCCAGAAAGGGAGGAAGTGTATCTGTTGGTGGGGGCCTCCCTTGACCTCAGTACCAAGTCTGTGCCCTGAATTTGCAGAGTAACCCTTCCCCAGGGCCCAGCTGGCCTGGGGACAGTGCCCACTACATCTAGGACTGCCTGCTTAGTGAACACACTTCTGGACCTACTACGAGGAACTTTGGTAAAAGCTAGCTTGGGGGAAGGGTTTGGGTGTACATATGAGGGGATGGAGGGGGATAAGTTGGCAACAATAAACATAGGTAGAACTAATTACAGTCTCCAGTTATCTTTCCTATGGAGAGAGGGCTGGGGGAGGGTCAGACCAATATCCTTCGAAGCTGGACTTGGCAAAGTGACCTCCATTATCCTTTCAGGGCCATCTGCCCCTTCCCTGCAGATGCCCAGTGCCCTTGATCCTGCTGACCTAAAGCTCCAGTTTGAAGCGCTAATGGTCTCTGCTCTTCCCACTAACCAGCTGTCCCCTGAGTACAGGCTCCCAGGGCCACAGGCCTTGCTGGGCTCTGAGAGTGGTCTCTTCCTAGAATGATTATTTAAGAAGAGCCTTGAGGGCCTCCCCAGTGAGGAAGGGCCGGCACTAGGGCCTGTCCAGTGTCCAAAAGGGAGAGATTTGGATTCGGCCGGGCCTTTCCTCTGAGGCCACCTCCTCCTGGGCCCCACCTCGTGCCCACTGAAGCTACACCATCTCCCAGGAGGTGGGACAGAGACGAAGACCCCTGGCTTCCTTTGTTTCTGCCGGCATTAACTGCATCAGGGAGGGCAGACTGGAGTGAGAGCTGCCCCCAGAGCGAAGACAAGGCCACTGTGCTTCCAGGCCTTGTTCTCAGCTGCACTCATCCCACTGCCCTTAGTGGCTGTGGGCAGTAGGAAACGGCCAGCATTATCCTCACCAAAGAAACAAGGAGAAGCCCAGCCTCAAAGCTCCAATGGCACCGAGTAACTGTTGTCACTTAGTGGGCACCGACACTGGGGCCTGAAACCAAGCATTTTGCATTGACTCCCTCAGATAATCTGCACAGCACCCCACTGAGGTACATACCATCATCTTTCCATTTTACAGAGGAGGAAACCGTAGCTCAGACAGGTTGAGGAAGTTGAGTAGGGAGTCCAACAAGCTTTCAGAGGCCCCCGGCCCTCCGGAGGGCAATCCGACCCTCTGTAACGTGCCTTTGACACCTTTTGACCCAGCCATTCCCCTCCTAGGATTTGATCCGCAGAAAGAGCCACACAAGTGCACACAGATAGGGACAAAGATACAACAGCTTTGTCTGTAAGAGTAGGGAACTGGAAACAACACAAATGGGGAATTAGTTAGATACATTATAGTTTGTTCACACGATACTGTGTAGCCATTAATCATGATGTAGAAAAATATATAAAGACACAGGGAAAATCTTCATGATTTTTTATTAATTAAAACTTTTTAAAATTACACAAATAATGTACAAACATTCTTGTTGTAAAAGAAATCTGTGCTATATCATGGGGGGGAACAAATACTAAAACATTATTTATAGGGTGATTCCATTTTTATTTTAAAAAAGGAAAGCATACAAAAGAATAAAGACTGGAAAGATCTGCACCAAATGGTTACCAGTGAGAAAAGTGGGGTGGGACTGGGGGAGTGAGGGAGAGAAACACTCACTTTCTATATTCTTCTTTTGTTTGAATTTCAAGAGTATCTATTATTCTACATCTATTTAAAAAGGAACAACATTTTAATTTTTGAAAAAAATAAAACCAAATAAATAAATAGGCCCAAACCTCTGGCTTGCAATTTGGGGCAGCGGCAAAGTCATTACCCTGCTATCTTTTGGCACAGGCTTCTGGAAAGGTGGTGAGTGGGGGATGAATAATGCCCAAAGTACTTAAAAGTCACACACAGCAAGAGGACCTTATCAGAGGAGATTCATAAACCTTTCAAAATCCCTGGGTACTATCTATCTATTAGGTCTAACCTGGGGAAAGGAAAATATCAGAGAAAGCAAAATCAGACTGAGAAAGTAATTTGAACTCCCCTCCCAGCCTAAGGAGGAGGGTGGGAGCATCTCAGAACTATCTGGCCCCAGCTGGGTCTATAGGCTGGATACAGGCTAGAAGTAGGTAGTCATACAAACACTCCAGTGACCACAGGACTTTGGGAGGGGTAAGTGAGGAGGGGCAACAAGGAAATGTACTCTACAGGCCAGGGCCTGAGGGATGAGAAAGGCAGTGCCAGGTGAGGCTACAGCCCATGGCCCGAAGCTCCTCCTCCAGGCAGGGCTGCCAGGACCTCTTCTCCAGCCCATGGACATCTAGAAGATGCCAGGAGGTACCCTAAGTCCAGCAAACTGAGGGCTGCAGTCCAAGAGGCTGAGTCTTCCCAGCTGGAGACCCCCTGCCCCAACCCCCAACCTAGTATGTCAGAAGCCCAGGCAGCTGTAGCCTCTAGCTCCCCCTGGAAGGGTAGGGGTGGGCTAGTCCAAGAGGACAATGGGCCCCTCTGATCTTGGGCCCCTCCAGGGCCTGGGGACAGCAAGTGGCAGCTCCTCTAGGTCAGGCAAAGCCTAGCAATTAAGAGTCAGGGCCCACCTGAGTTCAAGTCTTGGCTTTGTCCCTTAGCTGGGTTATCCTGGACAAGCCACTTAACCTCCTTGAGCCTCACTTTCCAAATCAATAAGGTAAGGATAATAGTACTAGCCCCATGCAGTTGTTACAAAGATTGAATGAACTAGTGTATGTAAAACTTAGCAGAGTGTCCAGGACAAAATCAATGCCTAATGAATAATAATGTGTCTGATCCCCTAAATCCACATCACCTTGCTCCCTCCATTTCACTCCCTTGAAGGCCCATCTCACCTTGAACCCCTAGTTCATGTAGTGACCAAGAGCAAAGGCTTTGGAGTTAAACTAAAGTGCCTTCAAATCCTGGCTCCACCACTTACTGATTACATGACTTTGGGTAATTACATACATACACATTTCTTTTCTGTAAAATAAGAATAATAATCTATATTGCAATATATAAATGTATCAAGCCAACACACTACACACCCTAAACGTACACAATGTTATATGTTAATAATATCTCAATAAAAAACTAATTAAAAAAATAAAAATTAAATTTAAAAAAGAATAATGATCTAATAATATTCTTCCTCTTTGGGTTGTTAGAGATACAAATGAGATCATGCATATAAAGTTCCTGGCCCAAGGTAACAATAAATGGTGGCCTTCTGACTCTCTTATAACCTCCAGGGTACTGAGCTCAAGAATGGGCACAAAAGTCATGTCCAAATGTGCTTGTCTGCAGCCTAACTGCTACAGCCTAGAGACAAACTGATAACCAAGCTCCCAGAGAGGCTGGTGATGGAGAGAAAGACCACCTGAGGAGTGGGGGGAAGCCCTGGACCTGCCCCATTCACAATAGGATGATCAGCCCTGAAAGTTACACTTAATTCAGGCAATTCCCTTGGACATCCACGGGCTACCAGAAGGAAGAGGATATAGGCCAGATTCAAGAAGAAAGAATTAGAGCCCAGCCAGCTCCTCCCCAATTCAAGGTTAGGATCAACTTCCTCCTCCCTGGCTCATCAGGGAAGCAGCTGGCGGAATCAGCACATCCCACTGGAATGAACTTGCTCTCCCTATTTCTCACAAGCTTCCCTTAGACTTCCCCAGGTAGGTTCAGATCAGCTCCCCTAAAACCTCGCAATGAAGGCTGTCAACTCCACAAATTCTCTCTCCTACACGCCAAACCCTATAGCAGTGTAGTTCATCACTGGCCCCAGCCGTGGCTTCCAGCTCTCACTCATAAAGACCCCCATACCCAGGTCTTTCGCATAAGTGGAGGCCGTGGTGGGGCCAGCCAAGACCAAGGGCATTAAAACAAAAGCTAAAAGACGGTTTTAAAAGGAAAAAAGGGCACTGATCACTGTTGTCTCAGTAAGGTCCAACACCTTCCCCCCACCTAAGTCAGGAAATTCAGGATGAAGTATGAGGTTTCCCAGCTGGGGAAAAGAAGTGGCTCTCCCACCTCTCCTTCACAATAGAGGCTACCTTAGCTTCTCACACAACGTTGGCCACATTCTATATTATTCAGCCAACAACACAATCAAGTGGGAAGGAACTGCCTCCCTTCTAGACTCAGCCAAGACTCCTCCTCCAGGAAGGCCCTAAATAAATGGAATTCTATAGCACTTGATATGTAGGCTTCACCTTTTCCTACAACTTCACAGTTACCAATATAGCATTTGTATACCATTGCCTCTGGGACCTGCCAGGGATAGCGTCAGAAGGAGCCCAGGGCAATGGCCCTCACAAAGGGACAGCCAACTTAACTGTGGGAACCAGGCAAGGCAACTTCCTGACTTTCTGTGCTAAAGAAACCCCACCATCAGTTCAACCTAAGTGCAGGGATCTGGAGAAATATTTAAGAGATTTAAGTTTAAAACAAAAACCCAACAACCACCCCCATATCAGATTGACTACATATAGTTAGCTCTCTATATGCCTAAAATGGAAAGATCATTGGCAAGATTAATCCAAAATGGTAAAAAAAAAAAAAAAAATCCTAAAATCATTGCTGGTTCTTAACTCACAAGAGAATGGGATCAGCAATGCAATTTCTCCTAAAGTTAACCCTAGCACACAGTCAGTTTTCAATAAGTACTTACTGAATGTCAAATAAATGAATAGGCTCTCAAGTAGACATTTGGAGTTATTCAAACCTCTTTATCTGTCTGCACCTGGGTTATGCCAGAAAGCTGTCTGGACTGGGAGTCAGGATATCTGGGTTCTGGTCTCGGCTCTACCAGTAACTGTCTATGTGACCTCAGGTTAAGTCACAGTATTTAATTTGGTGAGAGAGCAAGAGCAAATGCAAGCATGTTCCTTTCAGCAACATCATTTAACAGAGCCCCGGTTGTATGACAATCACCCTGTCTCTAATTTGGCACAAAACTACAACCCTTTAGCCACACTGGAACAACCAGATAGCTGAAGATGGGCAGTGGCTGACAGAAAAGGCAATGAGAGGGGCTCCTGAAGAAAGTGAACGGGCATGGAATGTCAGGGAGGTAATTCTACACCATGTTCCCAACATTGTAAAACCACTTCTAAATCAAGGCCCCCTCATTTCCTGCCCTGTGGTAGAGTGTGAGCTCCAAGCTCTCATTTACTAATCGAGTAGAAAACCCCCCAGCACCAGAAGAAAAAGAAAGGGCTTGGCCAGCCAATTCACAGAATACAAATGGCAAGAAACATAAGGCAGATGGGAGGCACAAAAAATGTTTGACCTCATTATTAACAAAAGAAATAGAAATGAAGTGACAACGAGATACCAGTTTACAACTATCAAATTACCAAATGCTTAAATGAGATGTGTTGAAGGAGGCTCTCCGATACACTGCTGGCAGGACTAACAGTGACAGGCTTTTTGTAAAGCCATATTTATCAAAAGCCTTTAAAAGAGTACTCCATTTGACTCTTGTGATTCCACTTCTAGGAATCTATCCTAAGGAAATAATCACAGATATACCTATATATAAAGAAGTTCATCACAACAGGATTTATAATAATGAAAAATGAAACTCCTACATGGCTGACAATAGGGGGTTATGTATATGTTATGGAATCATTAAGTATTTTCAAATGATTTCTAATGATATGGAAAATGCTAAGTAAAAAAAAAAAAAAGCAGGATTACAAACTCTATAGTTGAATTCCAGTTACGTTTAAAAATATGCATGCACACGGGGGCACCTGGCTGGCTCAGTCAGTAGAGCATGCGACTCGATCTCATGGTTGTAAGTTTGAGCCCCATGTTGGGGGTAGAAGACTAGAAGGAAATACACCAAAACATTAACAGTTATTGTATCTTGGTGATGAGTTTATGGGTAATTTTTAAAATTATCTTACTTTCCCAATTTTCAACAATGAGCATGTGTTGCTTTTAAAATTAAAAAGCACATTAAGGGTATGAGGGGAGGGGGATGTTTGTTTATTTTCTGAGTTTTCCGAATATTTAGAGGCAGAAAGGGACCTCTGATATAATATAGTGGTTCTCAACCCTATCAGCCCCAATCCTCCCTTGGTAGCTACAATATTTTGTGATGCACCCTTTGCCATCCTGAAACGACTTTCATAGGTAAGATAACCTGCTATTTATATACATAATTTCCAGAATAGTAATGTAATATACTAATTATAATATAAAGGAGAAAAAAAGGAAGTTTGTTTATGAGAGAATATATATTTCAATATGCAAATGCCTGGGCAAGACTACACTAAAAGATATAATAAAGCACTCAGAGGCTTCCACTTACATATGTAGATCCACTGTGAATGCAATTGCTACAAAGAAAGACAAATACAGGTACATTGCACTGGCAACTTAAAAATCCATGAATGACACTGCGTTGGTGACTTGATTTTCGAAAGTCACAACTCTTGGTAAAGTTCTGAACCAAATAAAATACCATCTTCCCTCAATTTACACAGTTGTTGCAGTCCTGGAAATTCAGTGTATATATTGAAATTGTACAAACAGGGGCACCTGGGTGGCTCAGTCAGTTAAGTGTCCAACTCTTGATTTCAGCTCAGGTCATGATCTTAGGATAGTGAGATCCAGTCCCCCACTCAGCGGGGAGTCTGCTTGAGATTCTCTCCCTCTCCCTCTGCCCCTCCCCCTGCTCGCTCGCTCTCTCTCTCAAATAAATAAATCTTTAAAAAAAAATTGTAAAAACATATTTTGTGTTGATTTGTAAAATAATTAGGCCAAGCTACTTACACTAGGTTTTCCCACTTACATTGATGTCCTATAGGATATTTGAAAATTTACAGATACAGATTTCTAGTTCCCATTCCCACTTCATATTTATCCAAAACACGAAATTCATAATGACTCCCTCTTTTGTGAGTTGGGCTTGCATCCTTTAAAACTAATGACATTCACAGTTTTAGCCTTTGATACTATTTCTAAAACCCATTGCCTAAGAATAGCAAGTGATTCCTAGAATGCATTCTTTTTTTAAAAAGATTTATTTATTTGAAAGAGAGCACGCATGTAGGGGGCGGACAGAGGGAGAAAGAGAATCTCAAGCAGACCCCTTGCTGAGGGCACAGCCCAACACGGGGCTCGATCCCACGACCCTGAGATCATGACCTGAGCCAAAACCAAGAGTCAGATGCTCAACCAACTGAGCCACCCAAGCACCCCTAGAATGTATTCTTTTGGAATTATTGAAAGCATTGCTCTTCTTTAGTAGCACCAAGCACAAGGACAAATTGTCAGTTTTTTGAAACCATTTACTGTGATCCCTTGGTGATTTTCCCTAGCCTGGCCCCATCCTCAGAAGTAAAATGAACAGAGCTGGAAGAAAAGGACTAACAGGGCTAGACCATGGGGAGAGAGGGGGTGCTAGGTTGCTAGGTTACCACTTGAGCCAATCTAAGCAGTCCCAGAGGAGTACCAGATACAGGACAGGTCCCTCTCCCTGCTCCACTAGGCTGAGGGCTCTCTCAAAGGAAGGGGGTCAAAAGGTGGGGGAGGGGCTGGTCACACACTAGGCACAAGTAAAGAAGTGAGGCAGAAGCACAAAGAAACAGACATCCCTGTATTTCTAAAACCATTCAAGTCTCCTTCATTAATTGGTTTCACCCCAAAAAGAAAGATTTCTTTATTAAGAAATACCAGAGAGTGAAAAACCTATCACACATACACATTTGTAGGTTCACACAAAAGTGCAGAGATTTACATATTAAACTGCATTTAAGTTAGAAAATAGATTTAAAAACAAAATACTTTTTTCCCCAACAAGGTAAAGAGATTTGGTCAGTAGGAAAAGGGACCTTAAGGGTAAAGGCAGGAAGGACAGGGCAGGAAGAATGGAATTTAGCTGCTATAGAATTAGAACCTACATCTACCACTGGGAAAAAAAATGCAAAGGGGGAGATGATGCTCTCCACTAGGGCAAAGAGGGCCCCGGAGCCAAACGGACATGAAGAAGTGGTCCCAAATAGCCAAATCCCACCACTCCACAGGGGTTTTGGATCCATGCCAGCCACCCTGGCCTGGGGAAGTGGGGTGCATAGGAAACTTAAGGGTTGGAGAGGAAGGGGAGAGGTGGAAAGAATGTTAGCCATTGAAAAGAGTGAACAATTTAAGGCCTATTCCCCCGGGAAGGACCAATTCTTCAGTCTCCTCTCTGATCTGTAACTCAGACTAGGGACAGTCCCAGCTGGTGCACAGTATGAATGGGACAGATCTTCAGGCCAAGGCCTTAAATACAGACGATTTATAAAGGAAAAGAAAGAGGACAGGGAGTATATGAAAAAAGCAGAAACTTTTAAAAAACTGATTTCACACTAGAGATAAGGGATTTCCAGGTTTACCCTTCATCTCAGAAAGAGAAAGCTTCTCTGACAGACCTCAGGGTCAGCAGAAGAGTGGTTGAGGTTAAGTTGAGTGAGGAGAGAAATCTGTCATAACCCAAGAGAAAAGATGGGCTGAGACAGGGTAGGCTGAGAACTGACTAAAAAGGGGTTCATCTGAGTGTCAGGTTAACTGGAAAAACCTAGTAACTTCCAAACTCTCGAGGCTTGGCCTCATTTTGTACTAACTAAAATCTAACTACAAGGATAAACCTGAGAGATCCAGAAAAAGAATGGGAAAGTAGAAGCAGATAGGAGAGGAATCTGAGTCAGTCAGAGCCAGTCTCCCCACTCCCCTTAAGGATTGCTACACTCAAACCCTGCTACAAGGAAAATAGGAAGACATATGGAAAAATCTAGAAGCAGCTAAATTTCATTAATTTTAATTAACTGGGGAGGGTGAGATAGTTATTGGTAAGGAGTCTTGACTTTAGACCATTTAAAAAGAAATATATACCATCGCTTGTAAAAGATCACTAACAAAATATTTCCAAGAGGGGGCCCTGATGAGCCTGCTTTAATAACTAAGACTCATTTGCAATTAACAGCATCCCTCTGCATAAAAACAATATCCTAATAAAGAACATTTTCTCTTAAGTAAATATAACCCCCTCCGACCCTCCCAATCTTGCTAACACTGTATATTGCCTTGAAAGTCCTTTTTTCATAGCCCAGAATCAGGTAAACGTCAGCCCAGAATGTGATATAGATCAGTGGAGAGTTTGGGAGCTATCTCTCCAACTCAAGGGCCCCCTAGGAAATGGGAGTATGGGTAGTAACAAGCAACCCCTTCAACCCCCACCCCCACCCCCCCACACAAAGACATTCACAACCTCATGGTGGTTCTTGAAATGGAAGGGGGAAGGAGGAGGCAGGCAGTTTGCATTAGACACAGTTTAATCACCTTCAAATAGATTAAAAGTTCTGGTTTACACTTCCCCCCCCTCCCCGTAAGTCATCCAGACAGGACCCTGGCTTAGAAAGAGAAAAACACAGGTGCTTTAGGAAATATAGCCACATATAATACATAAATCTTCTTCCCTGAAATAGAGCAGGTCCTGAGCAGAGCTGACTGGGGGCCACGGCCCACCCCCAGGGTGAAGTGGCTCTGGGACTCTGCCGGTGGAAGTGCTGGAAGAGCGGGGCTTGGACAAAGCCCCTGTGTGGTTACCAAGCCCAAGGTGGGCCAAGGCCTTGGAGTGGGTTTACCCGGGAGGGCAGCAGTGCTGGGCTTTCCCTCCTCACTCAGCCGAGGCCTAATGGAAGTACTGGTTATTCTTTTTTTTTTTCTTCTTTGAGGGGACATAGGGGGAGAGGAGAGGAGAGGAGAGCCTCTCTGTGCCTTGGTTTCCCCACTTGTGCATTCAGGGCCTGTACAGGCCTCACACAGGGAGTCTGAGGGGGTAGTGTTTAAGTGAGCACTCAGGCTTCCTCTGAGGAAAAGGAACCACCAAAGTGCAGACTTTTATTACTGCCATTCCTGCTCCTAGTGGGAGCAGGAGTCAAAAGGAAAACAAAAGGGGCTAACGAGAAAGGAGAGATGAGACAAAGAGTGCGAGGGGCCATGCCGTTGGCATCTCATCAATTCTTACTAAGAATGGCACAGGTATTAAAAAGTTTCTGGACAGTCTACAAGAAATGTGAATTGTTATCTCTACGGTAACTACTTACATATATCTAACTGGAAAAGAGTGGGGCTTGGGTGTTAAGAGTGGGCAGGGGACAAAGGAGAAGCTACATGAATAAATACAAGTGGAAGTTACCTGCCCCGTTCCTGAAAGGATTTGCTGGCAATGTTGGCACTTTGTAGCCAGGAGAATCCTCCAAGCCCACTCTTCAATTCTGAAGGCCCCAAGAATCCAGTTAGGATTCCCCGGCCAGGGTTCTCTGTGACTGCCTCTGGACTCAGGACATGCAGCAGCTTGAGAGGATTTGAGCCAGTCTCAAGAACCGTTAACCCCAGAATTGGAATAATGACCCCAAGCAGGAGAGCTGGGATCTGGAGAAAAGAGAAGGGAGTCCAAGGAGACTCCGTGTCTGAGGCCATGGAAAGCCAGTGCCAGGGCCTAAGAGACCCATTTGTCCAGTTACCAGAGGTGACTGACATCTTCTGTGACTGCCTTGAGTCCAGAAATTAAAAAAAGCTTGCAGCAAGAAAATGCCAGTGTGCAGTTGGGTGAATAAAGACAAAGGAAAACAGTAAAAGGGACAGCTCACTTGCTCTCTGTCTCAGGTTTATCTTCTCCCCTTAAATCTCTCACAGCCCTAATTAAACACAAACAAAAGTCTCTTCCATAGATAGGCTACTTCTCAGCTTCAGTCACCTCCTGTGGTGGCTCTGGGGGCTCTGGGGGTGGCATCTCTTCAGGAGTGCTGGTGTCCTCTGGCATCTCATTTGGGCTCAGATGTTCTGTTGGGGCCTGAGAAGGAAAACAAATCAAATTCAATGCAAAGCTCTCCCTTAAAATCCAAATGGAGATAATACACAGACACTGAACTCTTCTTCTGAACCCATCAACCACACTGATGCTACAGATATGCAGCCCCTGACACCACACTCGGAACCAAGACTGAACTACAGTCTTCTCAACAGAATGCAACTGAAGTGTGAGTTCTATTCTTCACTGTTGTGGACAGATGTTTCCCTTATTATTCAAAATAAAAATAAAATGGACCATAAATAATTACACAGAAACCCCACCTTCACAACAGAATGCTATAACATAACTTGTCTAACAAGGCCTGATCCAGTGGTTCTCAATCTTTTTTTTTCTCTTAACACACAGCTCACTAGAACAGCGATTCTAAACCAAACAGGGTGGGGTGGCAAAATCTTCAGATGGTATATGTGGTTGGAAAATGCCCCGAGTGATTCTAAAATACTATCCTTCCCTACATTCAACTTAGCATCACTAACCTAGATTGTTATGATTTTTTTTTAAAGATTTTATTTATTTATTTGAGAGGGAGAGAAAGCAAGCATGAGCAGGGGAGGGGAGGGGCAGAGGCAGAGGGAGAAGCAGACTCCGCACCGAGCAGGGAGCCCAACGCGGGGCTCGATCCCAGAACCCCGGGACCATGACCTGAGCCGAAGGCAGATGCCCAATGACTGAGCCACCCAGGCGCCCCTAGATTGTTATGATTTAACGTCAGATTCATCAGAAAAATGATATTAAAATGATGATAATAATATATAAACAAGAGTTTGCTTTACTTCAAAAAAAAAAAATTCAAAATTTAGGAAAGGCAAAGTAGAGAACAACTGACTTTACAGAAATCATTCACTTTTTTAAAAGTAGGATTCTATTTGAAAAGAAAGTTCAAATCTACTAAAAATCTATTAGAATAAACAAGTTCAGCAAGGTTTCAAGATACAAGATCAGTATACAAAAATCAACTGAATTTCTATATACTCCCAATGTACAATCCAAAAATGTAATTAGGAAAATAATTTCATTTGCAATAATATCAAAAAGAATAAAATACTTACAAATAAATGTAACAAAAGAAGTAAAAAACTTATACTCCGGGGGCACCTGGTTGGCTCAGTTGGAGAAGCATGTGACTCTTGATCTTGAGTCATGAGTCTGAGCCCCACGATGGGTGTAGAGATTACTTAAATAAATAAAACTTAAAAAAAAAACCAAAAACTTATACTAGGGGCGCCTGGGTTGTTCAGTTGGTTAAGCGTCTGACTCTTAATTTCAGCTCAGGTCATGATCTCAGGGTCAAAAGATGAAGCCCCGCATTGGTTCTGTGCTCAGCAAAGAGTCTGCTTGAGATTCTCTCTCCCTCTTCCTCTGCCCCTCCCCCTGCTCACGTGTGCACCCTCTAAATAAATAAAATTAAAAAAAACTTATACTCTGAAAAATACATTAAAGAAGACCTAAACAAATGAAGACAGCCCATGTTAATAGTTCAGAAGATTTAATCTTGTTAGAAAGACAATACTCCAAAAATTGATCTATAGATTCAATGCAATCCCCATCAAAATTCCAGTTGGCTTCTTTGCAAACAGACAAGCTGATCCCAAGATGCATAGGGACATTCAAGGGACCCAGAACAGCCAAAACAATTGAATAAATAAAGAATAAATTTGTACTACTCACACTTCCTAATTTCAAAACTTACTACAACACTACAATAACCAAGACGGTGTGATACTGGCACAAGAATAGAGATCCTGATCAATGAAATAAGATTGAGGGTCCAGAAACAAACTCTTGCATTTACAGTCAATTGATTTTTTATTTATTTATTTATTCATTAACAGAGAGAGATAGCAAGAGCAGGAACACAAGCAGGGGGAGTGAGAGAGAGAGAAGCAGGCTTCCTGCTGAGCAGGGAGCCCGATGTGGGGCTCGATCCCAGGACCCTGGGATCATGACCTGAGCTTAAGGCAGACACTTAATGACTGAGCCACCTAGGTGCCCTACAGTCAACTGATTCTTGACAAGGGTGCCAAGACAATTCAATGGGGAAAAAATCGTCTTTTCAACAAAGGGTACTGAGACAACTGGATATCCACATGCAAAAGAAAGAATTTGAACCCCCTACCTCACACCATATATACAAATTAGTTCAAAATGGATCAAAGATCTAAACATAAGAGCTAAAACTATAAAATTCTTAGAAAAAACAGAGGCATAAGTCTTCGTGACCTTGGATTAGACAATGGTTTATTAGATCTGACAACAAAAGCCCAAGAAACAAAAGAAAAAAATAGATACATTGGACTACATCAAAATTTAAACTTTTGTGCTTTAAAGGACACCATCAAGAAAGTGAAAAGACAACCCACAGAATGGGAGAAAATATTTACAAATCATATATCTGATAAGGGACTAACACAGAGAATATATAAAGAATTCTTGGTACTCAACAATTAAAAAAAAAAATCAAATTGCCCAATTTAAAAATAGATAAAGGATCTGAATAGACACTTCTCCAAAGAAGATATACAAATGGCCAATAAGCTCATGACAAAATGCTCAACATCATTAGGGAAATGCAAATTGTAACCGTAACCATAATGAGATACCACTACATTACCCACTAGGATGGCTAGAACCAAAATGTCAAATAATAATGACAAGTGTTGCCAAGAATGTGGAGAAACTGACACCCTCATACACTCCTGGTGGGGGATGTAGAAGGGTTGCAGGTACTTTGGAAAACAGTCCACCAGGTACTCAAAAGGTTAAACATAGAGTTATTATATGACCTAGTGATTTCACTCCTGGGTATACAGCCAAGACAAATGAATGCATATGTGTCTACGCAAAAACTTGCACAGGCAAGTTCATTGCTGCATTATTCATAATAATCAAAAAGTGCAAAGAACCCAAATGGCTATCAGTGGAGGAATATATACATAAAATGTGGTACTATCCATATAAGGGAATATTATTCGGCCATATAAAGGAATGAAGTACTGCTACATGAGACAACATGGATGAACCTTGAAAATATTATGTCAAATAACAGAAGCCAGTCATAAATGACCACACATGATATGATTCCATTTATAAGGAATGTACAGAAGAGGAAAATCTATAGCAAAAGAAAGTAGATTAATAGTTGCCTAAGGATGGGGTTGGGGGAACTAGGAAGAAAGAGAGAGTGACTGCTGATGGGTACAGGGGTTTGGTGAGGGATCATGAAAATGTTTTTAAAACTGATTGTTGTGATGATTGCACAAATCTGTGAATATACTACAAACCAGTGAATTGTACATTTTAAATAGGGATTTTATAATGTGTGAATTATAGCTCAATAAAGCTATTATTAAAAAAAAAAAAGAAATGTCAAGGGGTGCCTGGGTGGCTCAGTTGGTTAAGCGTCTGCCTTCGGCTCAGGTCATGATCTCAGGGTCCTGGGATTGAGCCCCGCATCGGGCTCCCTGCTCAGTGGGAAGTCTCCTCCCTCTGCTCCTCTCCTTGTTCATGCTCTCTCTCTCAAATAAATAAATGAATAAAATCTTTAAAAATTGTCAAATAGTAACTTTTTAGGAACATGCTTTGTAAAGTATATCCTGAGCAAGACAGCTGGGAGATTTTCCACAACATCTGCATATGCTAGGGAGGAAGCCCCCTTCCACCAAGGTAACCCCTCCATTAATTCTAACCCACTGTCCTGACCCCTATCTTTGCTCTGATAGCATTTTATGCTTCCCTCCTCAAGGCACTTTTCATAACATTGAGCAATGGCCTGTATTCTTGTCTCTCATCCCCACTAGACAACGAGCTCCTTGAGAGCAGGGACATTGCTTGCCTTGTTCACTGGCATATCCCTAGCACCTAGCACAGTGACTGTGCTTAATCTACCTCAAGGGCACAAAGATCTGAAGACAATGTCAGGGCAGAAGCAGAGACAGAGAAGCTGGAACGACTGGACATGAAATTGCCTAATTATATCTCAAAGGTGTAAATTTAGCCTACACCTTCTATCACTGACTCAGCCATTACATCAGGAATACTTACTGGGCTCTGTGGTAAAAGGCTGCTACTGGTCTCTTGAGTACTGGGAGGTCGACTTCCACTTTCCTCCAGTGGCAAAATACCCCTTCGGTCCAGCACACTGAAAGAGAGAGGACTGTTAATAAAGCATTTTGTATTCACCCCTCCACCCACCCACCCCCAGAACCTCATTGTGTGTACTAGAAAACATAAACCTGACCTTTAGAAGCCTAGTGTTTCCTAACACATGTCTCCTGTCTTCCATTCAGTTTTTTCTTCCACAGACCAGGGAACACCACATTAAGCAGGGAACAAACAAATGAAATAAGAATGAAAGCCTGTGGTCTGTGGTCTGTGTAGATATGGCACCAAGGGATAATCCCCAGGAAGACCCATTTGACCCCAAAAGGCCACATTCAGAAGAATGCATCAAGGGCTCCTGGGGGGCTCAGGCAGTTGAGCATCCAACTCTTGATTTTGGCTCAGGTCATGATCTCAGGGTCCTGGGATTGAGCCCCCATGTCAGGCTCCCCGCTCAGTGGGGAATCTGCTTCAGGATTCTCTCTCTCTACCTCTCCCTCTACCCCTCTCCTACCCCGCTCTTGCTTTCTCTCTCCAATTTAAAAAAAAAAAAAAAAGAAAAAGAAAAAGAATGCATCAGGCCAGGTAATAGGATCAGGTTGAATTGCTTGTCCCAAGAATCCCAGTATCTTCTAGTCCTCTGAGTACCTGGGGGGCAAGGGGCCACACAGCACTTCACAGCAGTTCTTCACAATGTTGCCATGGCTATAGGGATTCTGGACACGATTCTTCCCTGTCCATGAGCCTTTGATCTGCAAGATAAAAGCCAAGGCTTATAGTAAAAATTATGTTGCAGAAATACTTGCAGCATGGAAAGATGAAAAGCTCTGGAGATGGATAGTGGTGATGGTAGCACAACAACATGAATGTACTTCCTGCCACTGAATTCTACATTTAAACATAGCTAAGATGGTACATTTTATATTATGTATATTTTACCACAACAGGAAAAAAAGAAATACCTGCCTAGCCATGGAAAAATGTTCACAATTGAGTGAAAAATCAGAGGCTGAACAGTATGTATTATTTTCAATTAAAAATACGAAATATATATTCATCTAAACAAACATGGGAACAAGTCTGGAAGACTACAAATCATACCATTAACAATGGTGAATTTAGATAAAAACTTAAAAAAAAAAAAAAAACCATGGTGACATCAAGGAGGTAAAGTTACAGGGACTTATTTGCCATGTTTTACTCATCTGTATTTTCTGATTTTCTACAATGAGCATGGATTAATTGGTAAGTTTTAAAAAGCAGGGATTTATTCAGTGCAACTGCCCCTCTCCATTCCAAATCCAGAGGCACTAACTAGCCTTTAAGGACCTTTGAACAGCTGAAGACCTTGTACCCATTCAACCACTGAACCCCTTCTTTCCAATTCTCAATAGGCACTCAGCTCCAAACAAAGCAGTGTGCTTTCTCTTCCACGCATTGGATTTAACAATCTCCCAAGCCAGGTTTCTGTCTGCCTCGACCTCCCAAGCCCTGGAGACTCAGTTCTCAAGCGGGTAATGAGAGAATAGGTTTTGGGGAGAGAAAGAATATGTGATGAGGAAAAGGGAAAGTTGACTCACGTCTTCATTGGTTGTCTGGTTGAGAGCCACGAGGAAAGTGTGAAATCCAGTCAGTCCCACGACGGACCAGAGTGTGAAGAAGCAAATGAGCACTTCTAGAACAGTGAGGTGATGCTAAGGAATGTTGAAGAAGCTACACCAGGGACTCAAGGCCTCAGCCCATACTCATGGCGCCAATCACACCATCTTTACCTCTCAGAACATATACCACAAGTGGCCAAGTATCCATATATAACAACAGATGAATTCTAAACTCGCTGCATATATGAAAGGTGAAGGACTCCTCTTTATTCACTACGAGTAGCTCTCTAACATTTCTGGCATTTTTAAGTGTTTGTTTATTCATCATTAGTTCTTTGAAGAGAATGTTTAGAAGAGGGCCAAAGCTAAATAATGTTGGCCATCACTGCCAGTGGGAAATCCATCAAAAAATAAACCTTATAAATGAAAATTTGGTGGGAAAAACAGAACGTGACTTACAGAAACCCCATCTGAATCTCCTTTTCAGAAATGCAACTGCTGTACAAAATAAGCCTGAGCTGTAACAGAAAGGGAGGACTTTGGTCAAGCGACATAAGGGGTGTACTGAAACAAACACAGGCTGAGCCCGGGATCAGAAGGACTTGTGAGGGAGGCAGTGGAGAATGGGCTGAGGGAAAAACCTCCATTTAAGCCCTGGCCATCTTCCATTCCGGTTGCTACCATTAAGACTATATATTTTTTTTAATTTCAGATCTTGGCACTCTCTAACATCTAAAAAACGAGACGGTGGGAGAAATGCAGAGAGAACGCCTACTCGAAAGTAGTTTAAGAGGGAGTCACAGGGACATACTGCCAGGGGAGGATATGTTCCAGGAGTTTCTTTCAACGTCTCCAGGAAGCCAATTTTCAAGGATTCTGTTAAATTGGGAGGACAAGTAGAAAGAAAAATCAATGACTTTAGTAAAAAATGCACACTTATCCTAGTACCCACTCATTTCCTTCCCTCCCTATCCCTTGTTACAAGCTGGCAAGAGATTAGCCCTCACTCAGACAAGGGACTCTCACCTACAAGCTGGCAGTATCCTCACTGAAGAGTTTACATTTTCACTGCGGGACGACCTGGCACTGGACTACAGAGTCTGGCAGAAGCCAAGCTTCCTGCTCCTCTCCCTTTCCCCGAGCCCCCAACTATGGCCATGGATGGGGAATATTCATTCATAGATGAAAGAAATCAGAAATATCTAAGAAAAATCCTTTCTCCTCACCAATCCGTGTACCTCCTTTGTTCAAAATCCAGCTGAGAACTCATCTCTTGATCAAGAAGCCTCTTTTAACTCCACATCCCATCTGTCTTTAGGGTGATTTGGTGTGTGTGTGTGCACGCATGCACATGCACACATGCATATGCACACATGTGGGTGTGTATTTTCTGTCTCCCAAAGTAGACCATGAGCTACTGAAAGGCATTTCTCTAGTATAACCCCCTTCTACCACCTGGCACAGAGCAGGTCTTATAAGACAGAAGAAGAAAGTATGCAGTCTTTGGGATCACCTCAGAAATGCCCACTACTCTGGATACAGACCAGTAATCAGAGCCTCAGTCTTCAGCAGAAGGCCAGTGAAAAGGCCAACACGCTCAGGAATACGGATTGATGTGAGCTGAGGTTTGGAGCTCTGCTCGAGAGCAGAGTAGTATTCATTTCTAATTGGTCCTAGGATGCCTTTGCAATAGTAAAGTCCCACCAAGAAACCCAGCCACTCCCCTCAGCTCTCCTTAAGTCTTCTCCCACCTTTCACCAACAGACACTGCCCTGCATACTCACTGAGAGCCACATAGACGATGTTGAAGGCGAAGACATAGATCGTGAGGAGGGAGAGAGAGAGGATAAAGAGGTAGAAGTAACGGTAGTTCCTCTTTCCAACACAATTCCCCACCCAGGGGCAGTGATGGTCGAAGCGCTCTGTGGGAGAAAGAGAGTCCAGTGCCAAAGCCTCCAAAACAAAGCACAACATGCCATCCACATAGTACCTAATTTAAAGACCCCCAGGATCACTGCCGATTTCAATTATAAAAAAAACACTGGTTTCTATTTTTCACTTTTTCAGAATGTTTTCAGTCATCTCATTTGATCCCCACAATCACCCTGGAAGTCAAGCAAAAGAAGATATTCTTGTCCTCACATTGCAGTTGAAGAAACTAAGGCACTGAGGGGTCAAGTGAACTGCCTCACTGTCAGTTGACAACAGAGACTTTGCTTTTCCAAAGAAAAATCTTAGGTGGACTTACTAAGTTCAGGAAGAATAAGTAGGTGAAAAAATAGCCAAGGAAATTTTAAAAAATGAGTAGTATGGTTTTTCTTAGCCTCTAGTTTTTTTAAAAAAATGATAAAACTACAGGGGCACCTGGGTGGCTCAGTCGGTTAAGTGTCTGACTCTTGATTTCCACTCAGGTCATGATCTCAGGGTTGTGAGATCCAGTCCTACATTGGGCTCTGAGCTGGGCATGGAGCCTGCTTAAGATTCTCTCTCTCCCTCTCCCTCTGCCCCTCTTCCCCCCCTTCTCTCTACCTCTCTAAAAAAATTAAAAAATCAATGTAAAAACAAAATATAACCATAAAATAATTATAAAGAATAGATGAGGGGTGCCTGGGTGGCACAGCCAGTTGAGGGCCAACTCTTGGTTTTGGCTCAGGTTGTGATCTCAGGGTCATGAGATCAAGCCTCGAGTCAGGTTCCGCACTCAGTGCGGAGTCTGCTTGAGATTCTCTCCCTCTGCCCCTCCTGCTCCTGCTCGCTCTCTCTAAAGTAAATAAATAAGTCTTTAAAAAAAAAGAATGGATGACCATTTATCCACTGTATAGACAAGTATTTTCTAAGTAACCATAAAAGTAATGAAAGAAAACACAGATATTAAAGAAAAATATATTTGACTCCATAAACCTTAAAAAATAGCTTAAATATGTTAAAAATACTATAAAAGAATATTAAACAGGAGAAAACCAACAGAAATATATGTAAATTTTAGACCTTAGTATATGAGAAATCCTTATAAATCAATAACAAATTACAAATAGTCAAAGGGCAAAACAGTTAACAAATACCACATAAACATATATTTAAATGTTTTCAGATTCATTAATAATTCAGTGCAATACTAGTACAATTTTTGCCCATCAAAATAAGAATATAAAAAAACAATATCCAGTGCTGGTGATAATAGCTTAAAATGGACACTAATATACTCTTTGTGGGAGTATAAATTGAGAGAGTCTTTCTGAAAAGCAGTTTGGCGGTGTGTATCAACAGCCATAATAAGGCTCACACCCCTTTGGCAAAATAAATCCATTTTCAGTAATTTCTCATAAGGAAATAGAGATGTGCACAGAAATTTAAGTTCAGTAATTTTTTTAAATTTTTTTTTAAAGATTTTATTTATTTATTTGACAGAGAGAGACACAGTGAGAGAGGGAACACAAGCAGGGGGACTGGGAGAGGGAGAAGCAGGCTTCCCGCTGAGCAGGGAGCCTGATGCGGGGCTCGATCCCAGGACCCTAGGATCATGACCTGAGCCGAAGGCAGACGCTTAACGACTGAGCCACCCAGGTGCCCCTAAATTCAGTAATTTTTTATTAGAGTTTTTATTGTGGTAAAATATATAACATGCAATTTGAATATTCATTTTAAGTGTAAAATTTAGTGGCATTAATTACATTCACAATGTTGTGCAACCATCACCATTACCTATTTCCAAAAATTTTCACCACCTCCAAAGAGAAGCTCTGTACCCATTAAAGAGTAACTCTCCACTTTCCCCTTCCCCCAGACCCTGGTAACCTCTAATCTTTCTGTCTCTATGCCTATTCTAGATATTTCATGTAAGTGGAATCATACAATATTTGACTTTTTCTGTCTGGCTTCTTTCATTTAGCATAATGTTTCCAAGATTCATCCACATTGTAACATATATCAGCACTTCATTCCTCCTTATGGCTGAATAATATTCCATTGTACGGATATACCACATTTTGTTTATCCATTCATCTGTTGATGGATACTTGGGTTGTTTCCATCTTTTGGCTACTGTGAACAATACTGCCATGCACACTGACATACAAAAATGTTTGACTATCTATTTTCAATTCTTTTTGGTATTGTTATGGACAGAATTGTGTCCCCCCCCAAATTTATATGTTGAAGCTCTAACCCCCAATGTGACTATATTTGGAGACAGGGTTTCTAAGGAGGTAACTAAGGTTAAATGAGGTCATAAGGGTAGGGCCCTAATCCTGTCAGATGGTATCCTTATAGGAAGAAGATGATGATGAGACACCAGGAAAATGGAGAGTTACTCTTTAAGCAAACCTGCCACATAAAAACATTGGAAACTGTAGATTTACACAGATATATTTTTACTGTATTTTATTTTTATTTTTTTAAGATTTTATTTATTTTAAAGAGAAAGAGAGTGGGGGGAAGGTCCGAGGGAGAGGAAGAGAGAGAATCTCAAGCAGACTCCATGCTGAGCACAGAGCCCTACACAGAGCTTGACCTCACGATCCTGAGATCATGACCTGAGCCAAAATCAAGAGTTGGATGCTTAACTGACTGAGCCACAGGCACCCCTACTGTATTTTAAATCACACTTTTTCTGATAATATAATTAATACATGCTCATCGTAGAAACCTTGAAAAAAAGAAAGAAGAAAAATGAAGGAAACAAAATCACTCATAATTCCACAACCTATAGATAATAAACTACAAGCATAAGCATCTTGGTGTGTTACCTTGCATATATCTTTACATGTATTTTTTCAAATGTGTAACTAAGATCACACTATATATATAGCCTATCTCCTATTTTATTTCATTTAGCTTTCTGATTTGAGCTTTTCCCGTAAGTCTATTGCATGAATGTCCCACAATTTATTTGACCACTTATCTACAGGTGGACAATTGGGTTTATCCAATTTTTCATCATTATAATAATCCTGAGGTAAATATTTCCATACCTAACTCTTTTACCACATCCCTGATTATTTTCTTAGGATAGATTCCTAGAAAGGGAATCGCTGGCATCAAAGGGTATACATATTATAAAGCTTTTATGAATCTCACCAGGTTGTCTTCCAAAAAGTTTGTTCCAATTTACACTCCTGTCACGGTAGGACTAAGCATTATCAGGTTTTATTTGCTAATGTTCTAAATTTAAAAAGATCCCGTTTTAATTTTTATTTCTTTGATGTTTAGTAGGGATGACCCTTTTTCATGTTAACTAGTTAATTACATTTCCTGTTTTACGAACTGTCCATATTTCTACTGGAATGTTAATGCTTCTTTTTAAAAATCAGGGGTGCCTGGGTGGCTCAGTTGTTAAGCATCCGCCTTCGGCTCAGGTCATGATCCTAGGGTCCTGGGATCGAGCCCCACATCAGGCTCCCTGCTCAGCAGGAAGCCTGCTTCTCCCTCTCCCACTCCCCCTGCTTGTGTTCCCTCTTCACTGTGTCTCTCTCTATCAAATAAATAAATAAAATCTTTAAAAAAAATCAAATTGCATGAGTTCTTTATATTTAAGAATATTAATAAGGAGAGGGAATTCTTTATGAAAACCTTCATATCAGACCTTCTTGAAATATCAAGTTTCCTAGCTAATTTAAAACAAGTTTTGGGGTGCCTGGGTGGCTCAGTCGTTAAGCGTCTGCCTTTGGCCCAGGTCATGATCCTGGGATTCTGGGATTGAGGCCCACATCAGGCTCCCTGCTCAGCGGGAAGCCTGTTTCTCCCTCTCCCACTCCCCCTGCTTGTGTTCCCTGTCTTGCTGTGTCTCTCCCTGTCAAATAAATAAATAAAATATTTTAAAAAATAAAAAAAATAGTTTTAATTTATAAAAGTCCTATCTACATACAGATTTTTACCATATAAAGTAAGCTTTATCTTCCCAACATTTGCCTAAAGAATTGGCTAATAAGAAGAAAGCAATGTACTCAGTCAGGCATGTTCCACGGCATATACAAAGAGTGCTAGAAGTATGCTTGGGGAGCCTGGGTGGCTCAGTCAGTTAAGCGTCTGACTCTTGGTTTTGGTGCAGGTCATGATCTCAGGGTCCTGGGATCGAGTCCCAAACCCTGTGCTGGGCTCTGTGCTCAGTGCAAAGTCTGTTTATTCCTCTCCCCACCCCCAACTCTGCTCCTCCCCCCCATCCCCCTACCCTGCACGCATGTGCACTCGAGCTCTCTCTCTCAAATAAAAAAATTAAATCTTTAAAAAAGGAAGTATGTTTATTGGTAAAGTAAGGAGTTGCACATATATGCCTATCAACAGACATATTTACTGCCTGTTTCTGATCTTTCCCAGGGTTCAGCACACACTAGGCAGTGATTACAATTAAGCCACATATACCCAGATAGAAGCACAGACCCATGTATTATGCACACCTGCCACCCTTGCAGCATCAGCAGAGAAAGATGAAGTGACAGTTTTGGAATCAGACCTGCTCCAGTTTCATCTCACATTAATTACATGAACCTGCATAAAGGTGCTTCACCTATTTCCTCATCTGTAAAAAGGGGATAATACCTATCGCATGGGGTTCTTACGAGTCTTAAATGAGAGAAAGGGAAAGCACTTAGCACAGTGCCTGGGATATAGTAGGAACTCAATAAATGCTAGCAACTTTCTTCTTTGGTAACACTACTTCTTACATATCCCTTCCTTCCCCGATGCTGCCCTCCAGTGGACTAGATTTCTCCTCCCCCTACGTAAGGTGGGCTCCACTTGAAACAAATCCAGATTTGAAAAACAGGTAAAGTTTACTTCCCCATTTACCAAAAAGGTTTTTTTAAATAAATTTTAGACTAGAGGATATTTAAATTATGGTTTGATCTACTACAGAAGTACAGTTGATTTACAGTTGTTCAGAAGCATGTTTCCTATCTAAAGTTTCCTAACTAAATCTAGCTTATTTCCTATAGAAACCTATCTTCCCACCCCTACTGATTTTTCCCTAGAAAAATAACCCTGACCCTCTCCTTCAGCTCAGCCTTTCCCCCCAGACAGAGCCCCTTTGGTTTTACTCACCCACACAGTTGTCACAGATGCTGCAATGGGAGGCCCGGGGAGGCCGAAAGATCTTGCAGGTATAACAGTATTTCAGCTTCACAATCTGGTTGTTGATCTGGAAATTCTTGATACGAGGAGGCGGTCGCTGGCCCTGGGGCACTGCACCATTGGTAGCTTCTGTAGATCAGTAAAGACAGTTAATATCACTGCCAGCCATTATTTGAGCCCCAAAGTCTCACCACTTCTCCAAAAGCAGTGGGAGCAATCACCAGTTCCCTAGGCCCACTGTTTTCTCCAGACTAGCATTGCCTGAGGGCACTCTCAACATCAAAGAGTGTCGTGTCAAATTCTGCTGAATGCCATGCAATTCTTTTGTGCAAATGTGAAAAAAGGTTTCTTCACATTTTTGGCAGATTACAAAGAAAAACATTCATAAAAGAAATAAAAATGGCTAAAAAATATATAAATATATGAAATGAAAACATTCAAATTCACTAAGAATCAAAGACATAAAAATCAACACAAAGATACTGTTACCTCCTACTATATTAACAAATACTAAAAAGAATAAAAATACCCAGTGTTGGCAAGGACGGGAAGAAGGTATTTTTATACATTATCAGTAAGCAATAAAGCAGTGGCTCCCAAAACTTTAAAGGCATATATTTTTTGACCCTGCAATTCTATTTCTAAGAATTTAACAAAATTACAAAGAGATACACAAAAGATGTTAACACAAGGATATTTGTCACAGAGTCCCTTTTAATAGTGAAAACCTGAAAATAACCTCAGTGTCACAATAGGGGGTTGGTTAAGTAAATTATGATACATGCATAGGATGGAATATTATGCAACCATTTAAAATGATATAGACAAGTGAATGAAGACTCAGGACAACAGTCACAATATATTGCACAATGAAAGTGTACACTAGAAAGCAACTAGTGTACATTCTATCTTGCAAAAATAAAATATATGCATGAAAAAAAGACTGGTAATACTTAGAATCAGAAAAATAATCATTTCGGGGTGCCTGGGTGGCTCAGATGGTTAAGCGTCTGCCTTCAGCTCAGGTCATGATCCCAGTCTCCTGGGATCGAGCCCCACATCGGGCTCCTGGCTCAGCGGGGAGTCTGCCTCTCCCTCTCCCTCTGCCTCTCCCACTGCTCATGCTCTCTCTCTCTCTCTCTCTGTATCTGTGTCTCAAATGAATAAATAAAATCTTTAAAAAAAATAATACTCATTTAAAAATAAGAGTAATGTATGCTTATTGTAAAAAGTTTGGAAAAAACAGAAGATATATATAAGAAAAAATAAAAATCACCGACAGTCTCTCAATTCAGGAATATCCATGCATTTTGGTGTATTTCCTTAACAGGTGAATAAACATTCGTGATTTTTAAAAACTTGAGATCATATTATAAATATAATTTTGTACCCTGTATTTTTCACTTAACACTATATGGTGAACATTTTTCCATGGTTGTTAATTTCTCTTCCAAAAATATTAATATTGGCAATATAATATTCCCTCATATGCACATACCATAATTTATTTAACCATTCCATACTGTAGGGCATTTAAGTGGCCTCTGGGTTTTTACTATTTAAATGGTGTTGCATGAAAAAACTTAAAATATTACAGATAAAGCTTAAATCCCCTCTGATCACCACCCCAATCCCAATTTCCACCTCCCCTCCTCAAGAATAAATACATTTGTTGGGGCACCTGGGTGGCTCAGTCGGTTGAGCGTCCTACTCTTGGTGTCAACTCAGGTCATGATCTCAGGGTAGTGAGACTGAACCCCAAGAGTTGGGCTCCAGGCTCACCTAGAGTCTGCTTGAGATTCTCTCCCTCTCCCTCAGCCCCTCCCCCCATTCTCTTGCTCTCTCTCTCAAATAAATAAAATCTTTTTAAAAAAAGAATATATACATGCATTAAAATTAATTTCTCAAACAGAAAGAAAAAAGGAAAAGCATGTTGAAGTCTGAGCAGTAATATATGAAGTTGCTGGCATTAAAATAGCTAGGCCCATATTAAAAAGAAAAAAAGGAAAAAGAAAAAAATGACGTGCTGAAAATCCTTCTACAGTAATTTGTATAACTCTGATTATTTCCTTTAACTAAACTCTAAGCAAAGTGGAATTACTGGATCAAAGGGTATGAATCCTTAAAGCCCATATTGCTTATTGTCAAAATGCTTCCCAGACAGATTGTATCAATTTGCACGCCCATCCATCTGCAGCATATGAGAATGCCTGTCTCGTTGCACCCTAGATGTGCAGGATAATTCTAAAAACAGAATAATTTTTCAATTCACTTTGATTTTAAAAATATCTGCCATATGGAACTTTTTTCCTTTTTTTGCAGAGTGGGGTGGATGCTGTGAAATCAAACAATAACAGTGTGCCACAAGTCTTAAAAGGATGGGGATAGCTATTCATTAGAGAATGATATAAGTACCAGCATGCCACCTTAATATTCCTTTGCATGGGCTTTACATGAGGGCACCCGTGAGATAGAGTTCATGGTTCATCCTCCCCATGAGGCACTATGATGCAAGGGAATCACAGTGTCGTCTTCTGCCCGTCCCCCAGCCCCCACGCACACAGCATACCCAGCACAGGGATGAATGTAAGTTAACAAAAACTTGCTAACATAAACATACGAATGAACACAAGAATGCATTCTTCTAAGGAGAGAAACATGCTAAAAGGAGAGGTCTCAATGTGACAGCTCAAGCCTGGGCTCCAGGCCCAGTGATCTGGCAAAACAGAACTAACCTTGCTAACACCTGCTGCTAGATGCAAGAGACAAGTCAAGGCACTGCCTTGACCTTCAGTTTCTCCATATGTGAATGGAAAGAGGATGATAAAAGAATAATCGAGATGGAGAAAAGATGGCACACACAACTCTCCCTCCTATCTTGCTCCTATCTCAGCTTTACCAGGTCTCCCCTGAACTCCAGCTGCACCAGCACACCCAGCCTCTGCTTTCTCCCCACTATTCCCACTCTCACCCCATCCCTAAGTAGTTCAAGCTCAGACGTGCACAAACCTATGTCCCCCTAGCGCAACTAAAACAGGCTGGAACTCTTCAAAAAGAAATTCGCTGAGAAGCTAGAGGGAAATGCAACTAAAATAAACAAAAGAAATACAAAAACTTGGAAGCTTTCAAACCACTCTAAAGGAGTATCAAATCAACACATTGTATACTTTAAACTTACACAATGTTGTGTCAATTATATCTTGATAAAACTGGAGGAAAAAACATCAAATGGAAATGGGAGAAAATATTTCATTGATGATAGCATGCATATAAACATTAGGAATAAACTCAATATGAGAAACAGAGAAACTAGATTCTAAAACTAAAAATTTTATTCAAGGGCATAAAATTCAATCTGAAAATAAAGACACAGTATTTTCTTGGATAGGCAGATAATATTATACAAATGTAAATTCTCTCAAAAAATATAAATGTAATATACTACCTATTATAACTTTAATATGTTTGTGTGTTTTTAATTAAATAATATTAAAATAAACAAACAAACACCCTAACAGTTTAAAGGCTAACTATAGATTGGTGGTCCATGGGCATAGCTTTTAGTCTTACAAGTTCTGGGCCCCTTTCTTCTAATCTATCTGGCTTGGATGCTGACTCAAGCTACTTGGGTACTGGACTTGCAAACAATTTCGGCAGGCACTGCTATGGGGTCTGAGGGGCTCCCAGTCCCCGCTAGCACTGGTATCATGGCCTTCTTTCCCAGTGTGAGCTCCTAGGATATTCCCTCCTCTAGCCCTGGGATCTTCTGCTTCAATTTGTGGAGCCACCCTGGCTCCTGGCTAGTGTACCACTTTATCTCTGTCCCAAAGAGACCTACCCTGAGCTGAAAACTGCACTGTAATGAGCCTGTAACTGCTTCCTTTACCCTCCTTTACCTTCCTAGAATTCTCAATGGTTCCTGGCACCATGGCTGTCTCCTCTCACCTTATGTATTGCCTTAAAGCAGGAATTCTTGGTGGGGCTCATGAATGTGCTTCAAAAGATCTATGAATCCCTGAAATTACATCTGAAATTATACGTATATGCAAACATATAAGAATATTTTTGGACAACCTGGGTGGCTCAGTTGGTTAAGCGACTGCCTTCGGCTCAGGTCATGATCCTGGAGTCCCGGGATCGAGTCCCGCATCGGGCTCCCTGCTCGGCGGGGAGTCTGCTTCTCCCTCTGACCCTCCCCCCTCTCATGTGCTCTCTCTCATTCTCTCTCTCTCAAATAAATAAATAAAATCTTTAAAAAAAAAGAATATTTTTATGAAAAGAAGGCTTATAGCTTTCATCCAAAAAAAAAAAAAAAGAACCAAATGAGTTCATGACCCCTCAAAAGTAAAAAAATCCCATCCTCTTGGGAACAGTGCAGCAAGACCTTGGTAACAAACCCCTCCTGAAACACAACCCAACGCAAGGAAGAATGAAGCATATGGCTTTCAAATCTTGCTAAACCTGCCTTACCAAAATCATAGGGTGGTCATGATCTCAGATTCAGGATCTTAGAGGGAAAAGGCTAGAAATGATTCTTAATCTCCAACTACTATTAGGATTCCATTCCCTTAGTGATTAAAGTCACCCACTGCACAGCATCTTGCCAGCTGGTTAGAACACTCACCTATCTCCATTTCTATGAAAGCTGCTTCATCTGGTAGGGCCCGAGGGATCACTCCAGGGTCACTGAAGCTGGTCCTCAACAGTGTAGCCATGGAGAAAAGGAAGAGCATGGCAGCAAACACAGGGATGGCAGGAGACAGCTGGACAGCCAGGTAGCGACATCTGAAGAAAGTAGGTGATTGAACATTTAGTTATACCTACCCTATATTGATCACAAACTGTTACCAGCATGTGGATCCGGTCTCCACAACAAAATCAGCAGTACCTTGAGGGAAGGGACCATGTTGGTTTTCTTCTCTTGAACTACCCATAACTCCTAATATATGGTTCTGCACATAGTAGGAGCTCAACACTTATCTGATTGATGCCACCTATAACCTACAGAAGACAGTCTCAAGGGGCCTCTCCATCACCAAATCCAGTTCCTCCTGTCAGCCTGTTGAGAACCACATTCCCTCTGTGCCTTGGGAAAGGCTCACACCTACTAAGGTCAGGGAAGCAACTGAGCCTGGACTTGTAAGTACCACAGGCTGTTCTCACTCTGGGAATGTCTAGAGCTTTTCATAACCACTCATCTGGCATTAGGCCTGAGCTCAAGGAGGAGGAAGAAAAGATGAGGGCCATCCATGAAGCAGGGTCCCAGCGTCAGACGGTACGTCTGGCATGCTTCAAGGCCAATGAAAAAGCTTCACAGCTGCTGACTGACTTTGCAACATCCATCCTCTTCTCTCCTCAATTAGCTCTACTAGTAGGTACTCAGTGACCTTAGGCAAAGGAATAAGAAAATTGTATCTCCTCAGCACCTCTTCCCAACATCATGTTTGCCCCTCTTCTTTCCTCATAATTCACCTGGAAGGCCATCCCTCTTCCTCTCTGGATATCCCAACTCTACTCATCTTTCAGGTCCCAGAGACATCAATGCCATCGTTGTCATCATCACGACAATTTAATGAGCACTCAGCATATGCCAGGCATTGCACTAAGCCCTTTATATGCATTATCTCATTCAAGTCTCACACTAAATCTAGAAGGTAGAGTCTATCATACCCATTTGATAGCTGAAGACTCTGGGATTTAGAGAAGTCTTGCCTCTTCTGAGAGGCCTATCCTAAGCTGCACTAATCTCTCCCTTCTCTACCACTGTCGTCCTCACTGCCAGAGCCTTGTATTGTTTCCTAGCTGGTTTTCACTATGTTGACCTCATCTCCCCCAGCTGGACTTCAGAAGAGCAAGAACCTTGTCTTTTTGAAGTGGGAATGTTTGGGTTTGAATTCTGGCTCTACCAGCTCCTCCTTGGGTGACTTAATTAACTTCAGTCTCCTTAGCTGTGAAATGAGGATAATAATAGTACTACATAGGGTTATTGTGTGGATCAAATGCATGAATATAAATAAAGTGCTTAGAACTGCACCTGACACATAGTAAACGTTAAGTAAATGTCAGCTCTTAACATTACCATCGTAGTTCTGTATCTCCCAGAGCTTAATACAAGTATGGGAACAAAGAAGCTATCAACAAATACTTGTGGCACTCAATTGAATTTCAAACCAAATAAATAGGAATGTGTGGTGAGAGTTATCACTGACCTATTTTTATTCTCTTCCTCCTGAGGCACATTTTTTCCTTCAATACAGAGATCTTCTCTTGGAGGCAGATTCTAAGTGGATGAGCAAGGACCAGAGGGAGAGCGGAGAAAGTAATCTGAGGAAAAAGGCTTACCTCATTGGCATGGGGATTAAGCAAGCTGCTGTCCACTCAGAGTGAACATTTAACCCCAGGTTGTACATTCACTGTAGTTTTGGAACAATCCACATGAGATCCTCCCCCTGTCTCCCTGCCATACACATGACTGCGGCGGGGGGCGGCAGTATAGCCCAACTATAATATTAGGCTGAGCAGTTTGTCAGCAGAAGGTGAACATACGTAGTGAACTTGCAAAATGATTTTTGTGGCTTTTTGTTTGCTTGCCTGCTTGTTTGTTTTTAACAAAATCCTTGGTCATAGACTGATTTTGTATGATTTACTTCCTTCCCCTAAAAGCTAAGGGTAGGGGGTATAATTTGAAGAACTGAAGGATCTGACTACGTACAGGGTAATTAAGGCCCTTGCGTATCACTAGCTTGTGGATTACCTTCTTTTCCATGTTCCACCTTCAGTAGTACAGATAATCAAGAAGTGAATTTGGAAACAAAAGTCACCTCCACCTAATCAGGGACCCAAAGGACACAGGAGAAACATAAGACTGTTTCACAAGCAAGCCAAGTAAAATTACCACACTAACAGAAAATAGCCATCTTTCTAGTCACTGCCCATTTCTAAGATCACTCTTTGAAAACAAACAAATAATTTCTCTAGGACACAAACTGCTCTGGGTGTACAGTCTCCAATGAATAGAAAAATCAGAGCTATCTGATTGGCCACCGAAGGGATTTTAAATCATTTTATTACAGGAAAAAGATATAGAGAAAATAAAACAATCTCTCTCCCTCGTACACACACACACATGCGCGTGCGCACACACACGCGTGCACACACACACACACACAAGATCAATGTTGCCACCATGCATGAAGGACCCGAGATTAACTAAATCTCATTCCAACACCTGCTTGTTAACCAGACAAAGGACAACTTAGATTTGAATTATGCTACGCCATCAAGGATAAAGGTCTCTGTAATCTCTACACGGACTATCTTCTGCACCTGCTAAAACAATCCACTCTGTATGTCAACAAGTACACAATAGGCTCATTGTATTGTTCTCCAGAGATGAGGCTATTGGCAGCCAGTTGTCACTAGCGAGTGGGTGTGGCTGGGAAGGCAGATGTGGGACCAGCAGGCCTTTCCACTCCAAGTAAGAGGAAACAGAGAGCCAGTAGCTAAGACTGCTCTTAACTACAGCCTATCATGTCTGTCTTTAATAGTTATGATCAAAAATACCCCCTTAGGGGGCACCTGGGTGGCTCAGTTGGTTGTCTGCCTTCGGCTCAGGTCATGATTCCAGGGTTCTGGGATCGAGCCCCACGTCCAGCTCCCTGCTCAGCGGCGAGGAGCCTGCTTCTTCCTTTCCCCACTGCTCCTGCTCTCTCTCTCAAATAATTTAATAAAATCTTTTTTAAAAATACCCCCTTAAGTTAATCCCGTAATTGCAGCAAGCTAGAGATCTGTCTCTGACAGGAATAGGGTATGTGAAAATTGGGTGGCAATTCCCAATATCAATCTGAAAAGTCAGGAGTATCCTAAATCACTAATTCATCCTACTGGAGGACTGGATCTGTCATCCATGAATATAAGCTAACTGTTTTTGAAATCCCCTAGTATTTTCCATTTATATTACTTCTTGGAATAGTGATATTCATACACTTCTTGAAACAGAACTCTCTTTTGTCTTCAGAGTACTAAGAGGCTTTCCCCCTTCCAAAGGGTTTAGAAGTCGCTTTTCTCCCTTGTGAATTTTATAAACGCAACCATGTCCCCACTATCTTCCTTTACGCCACCTGAAGAAATATTATTTTAAGCCACCTTCTACCAACTTCTTGTTTGGCCTCAGGCTTCCATAGCTGGGCTACATGACTGGACTTCCACATGTCCCATGGGCCACATGGTGGTACTGTCTAGCAGTAACCAGCAGTGCCAGGCTGGGCTGGTGTGTCATGTCCCATCCCCCATTCCTAGCACGCTAGTTCATTGGCGGGACAATGATAATGACACAGACTTCAACTGACATGAAAAAACTCAAGAGATTCATGAGTGGATCTGGTAAGAAACCAGACAGATTCCATAGCAGAGCTCTGCCTCACAGACTGGGAGCATGGATTGGTGTTCTAAACAATACTCTACCTCTAAGTCTCCCTAATAGCTCAGTGCAATCAATCAGCCAACAAGTATTTATGTGTCTAACAAATGAAGAACAAGAGAAAATAGGATTTAATTTTGTTGGGAAAAACATAACTAACATATGAAACAGCTAAAGAATAAGATCAGACCAATAACCAAGTGTTAGGATGGTGATTCAGACTCTAAGGACTGTAAGTGGTCAGAGAAGAGCTCTCTTGGGAAGTTGGTGGCTGCTTAAAACCACTCCCATAGCAGCTGTTAAGGGTGCCTTTAAGGAAAAGCTGTGCTTGGAACAGCAGAAAGGGCCCAAGGTTAGAGTCCCATGATGGCCCTTGTCTCACATAATAGTAATAAGCCTTTGCTATAAGTCCTCACTGATATGGACGGTTGTCTGTTCTCTTACACACTACCTACTTCTAAAGCATAGTAAACATGTAGAATCACCTATAAGACTGGCTCGAGGGTCTTCTGATGACACTCAAGAGTCTGCTGATAGGGAAAAAGTTTCCTTGGACACTAAAAACATAATTTAAAATCAGCCTCTAGATTGACTGCTATGTGAAGGTCAGAGGAAGATGCATAAGGCTGTTTTGCTCCAGTAGCAATGGGGAAAATTAACCAAACAGGGACATCTTCAATTCTGAGGCAATGAGCCATCTTCTCACTGAGGAGGGCCAAAATCTCTAGCCAGGCAAACCTGCTAAGTAGTTGCTAAATCGCAGTGATAATAGCAAATTTCACATTTCGATTATAACAAAAATAACAAATTTCAAATATAACAAATAACAAATTTCAAATATAATATACTCCTGCTCAAAAATTTAGAACAATTCCCTGCTGCTTATTATATTAATCCCCAAACCCCACAAGCCAGTATTCCAAGGCCCTCCATTAACTGGTTTTATCTAATCATCATCATAAGGTTCTTGCCTTCTCATTGCACCATTCCAGAAATATCCCCCTAATTACCCTGAATTCACTAGCTTCTTGCTATTGCAAAAGGCATAAGGTACCTCCTTTGTTCTTAAACACAATACCAGCTCGGGTGTCTCTGAGGAAGAAGATTTAGGAGGTCTCTTCTTTCCCTCAATAAACATCTCAACTGATGTCAGCATGCTGGGGGAAATCCCTGTTCTTTGTGCTCACTTTTCCCAAAATAGAAGATCACTATACTCAATTGAGACTCATTCTCAAAAGATGGGAGGGGCGCCTAGAGGTGCAGTGAGTTAAGCGTCTAGCTCTTGGTTTCAACTCAGGTCACGATCTCAGGGTCCTGGGATGGAGCCCCGCATCCGGCTCTGCACTCAGCATGGAGTCCGCTTGAG